TGTTACGTAGAGAAATCATAGTAGGCGGTCGAGTGATTTATATGAAATTCTCAATACGTAATAATGACCGAATACGCGCAACATATCTCACTTCCATCATTGTCCAAGAGGATGTGTTTGTCTCTGAAAAATTGATCATATTGATGGTCATATTCATACTGATCCAAATTTGGTACGAATCGCACAACTAATACCTGAGTTATAGAGGGGCGAGGGACAATTTTGATTTTTATAGATAGTGATTTTAATGCATGTGTAAAATTCGCCATTTATTTGCTTTGTAAGTTGAGTAGTATAGTGTAAGTATTAATTGAAAACTTGATTTACCTTCAGCAATAGTTCATTACCAAGAATTATAACTCCGCCACTTTCCAGCTTTAGAGGGCGCTGTGCTCTCAGCATCATGATATGAAGACTTTTTTTGATTTCGGGAGTTTGTTCATACCAGCCACATTCAAAGATATCGAGCCCGAACTTCTCGCTCTAGAATTATAATTGAATAAAATCGATTTGGATATATTTTATTTCGATAAAACTAGGAACTCACGTTTAAAGACAGATCATTGGCTTGGGTATACAAATTGGTAACTTCAACAAACAAGAGGACCGTCTCGGTCATGTACAATGTGAATCCCAATTTGCTGGCCTTGAAGACCTATAAAACATTTTTTAACGAGTGCCAAAGGCAGTTTTTTTAGTTTCATGGTAACAGTAGTTTATGGTATACATATCATAATTAATACTTACAACTAGCATGTTGAACAGAATTATAGAAATGTGATAAGATTTTGCCAAGAAGTCGACCAAAAAATAAAATTTCAAGGAGTCGTTCAAATCAGTCACATACCTGAAAATTATTTAGTTTCAGTTCATATAGATATTTTTATACCAACGCGAAATCACATCTTAATTTTCTCAAACATGTATGATAGGATCGTTTTTGAACTTAGTGACATTTTGGGGCAAATCATCTATTGAAATGATGTTAATATTCATATTTCATAGAAAAGAGGAGCGAAAATCCCAAGAACTTTGGAAATTTCAAAACATAATTTTTATAAAATTAATACACTACTTGATGTGAATTGCTGAATTCAAATCACTGACAATTTGCTGTTTCACCTACTTATATGATGAATATAATAATAATATAATAATATATTATCGTCTTTATTATTTCCATATATAAAATAAACATCAATCTCATCTTATAAATACTATAAGTGGAAATAAAGGGCGAAGTTCATTTCCTGTAAATCAAGGATTTCCAGATAATGCTCTTCCACTTAACCCTTGAAAATAGAGAATATATGAATAAAGATCTATAGGTAGATATATACATAAAATGAATGTTAATCCAACAATTCAAACTGTGATTTATTTCAAAACATGCCATTTCACTAGATAATTTTTATTCCGTTTCTTGCAAGATCAAATATTTGTTTTATAAAATCTGGGTGTTGAACAAATAGTTTTTTGTTGTTAATTTGAATTTGTTCGAATTCAGAGCTTTAAATGTTTCTGGTAAAGAGTTGTACATGCTGAAAATTTGATATTTGAACGACCGTCTGTATAGTTCTGATCGGAATGTAGATATTGTAGATGTAGATATTTCTCATATTCCTCTGTGGAAAATGCATCACATTCTGAAGATCTTTGTGGAACCGCTGTGAAATCGACAATTCAACAGGATTACTATTGGATAAAACATCTTCATTTTGACATGAATAGCTCACAAATAAACTGAATGAATTATATATACGTCATATAGCGAGATCTTTCGACATCATCGATACGTCATCGCAACATCATAGAAGGTTTTCACTTTTTGAGTACTCCAAACCTTTCTCTAGATTCTCTTCAATTTGAAATATCCAATCAATTCATAAATCGTTATCCTCTATACTGTTATCATTTTTGTAGCTTACAATTATGCAATGTTGATGACTATGTATAGTTGAAAACGCGCCGCATCATTATTTTTGATGAAATATTTCTGTATACATGGTGCCCGTTTTTCAAGCTCCACCATGGAGATTTCAGTTATCATAAGAGATACGAGAGTGCTTTGGAAAGAACGCCAACAGTTTTGTTCAACAAACTGAATTTCGACAGTTTATTTAAATCTGGAACATTCACATTTTCGTCAAAAGCTCATCTACTTGAAAACTATGGTTTTAAATTAGGAACGACGTAATGAGCAAGAAGTTTATTCTTCGCAAAACAAAAAAAAAAGGCGTTTCCTCAGATTCTGAATTGCTTGCGAGATGTCCCGTCTTCTTATCCTAATCCTGAAAGTGGTGATTTTGGTCCTTCCCAGCTTATCAATATCGATCACTGAACTATAACCCTACAATTTGTAGGGTTATAGTTCAGTGATATCGATCGGTACAGTTTTGAAAATCAACTCGTTCATAGTTCCCAATAAATAATAATCCAGTGGAGAGAGATCAGAGGTGACCGCGCTGGCCAACGTATTTCTCCGTTTTGGAAATTACCTTGTCAGGGAACATATCTGACAGACACTCGGCAACCCTTATTCTTGCGTTATGTGATGTGGATAAGCTTAAAAATTCAACAGTTCCGTTCGCATATTCAATCGAACTGTCATAATTCAGTTTGTTAAACAAAACTGTCGGCGTTCCTTCCAAAGCAAAAATGGTTATTTGCCAATTTTGATCAACAGGAAAGATTCGATCATATCGTGTGATACATCATTGTCATGAAAATAGTTATTTGTTTAACTAGGCAGCAAAGTAGTAAATTGACTGCCGTGGCTGAATTCATAGCCGAGCGTAGCGAGGCTAGGAATCCAGCAAAGGCAGTCAATCTACTGTGCTGCCGAGTTGAACATATGATTTTTTCTCCGATTGCTCATAATGATATGGGAGAATATTGTGTTTGCGAATTAATACAATTCCCACAATCTCTTTATTCTTCCTGTATAGTGTTCAATTAAAATAAAATTTGATAGAAATCGCAGTTGTTGATTTGACAATTCATGAAATTTCTGATAGTTGTGCGAAACAATATCGGTATATTTAAATTATTATATAATGGACAGTGATAGCGACCTGGAAGTATACTTACACCTCCATTAATAAGGGAGGTGGCAAAAAATATAGAGTTGAATTTGTTGCCGAAGAAGTCTCGGATGAAATATGAAGGAAATTATAAACGATTTATGGATTTTTAATTTTGCTGATACATATCAATCAGCAAAGTAACCACTTTGCTGCCTAGACAGGAAAAGTAATACTTTGCTGATTGATATGTGTCAGCAAAATTAATATTTGCTGCCAATCGGAGGAAAAATTTTTTTTTCAAAAATGCAGAAATCCGATATGGCGCCCATAAGAAAAAACAAAGTTGAGTGTTGTAACTTGGGCATCAAGAACGTCATGGAAAATGAAATGACAGATTCAGATTCTTCGTAAAAAAGTGCCTTAAGAATGTCAGAAATTACAAATTATCGTTTTCTTATTTGCCTTAATTTAACCGACGTCGTATCTCTTATAATAACTGAGATCCTCATGGTGAACATCGAAAAACGGGCACCCTGTATTCAATGCTGTGTTATAGCATGGCCATTGATGAGAATTATCTGGCAGTTTTGTATCTTGAAGCAGTAATAGGTACCTACATTCCCAAATTAATCAAGTAATCACATCCGATTGATTCGGAAATAGAATTCATCATGCGAATAGGTCTAAAAAGTGTCATTTCTACGTACTATACATCATATGTTACGTGCATATTTGGATTCATATGTACCTAGCTTCTTTGTCACCTAGTAGAGTTGACTTATTTGACCGATTTTCAAGATTCATTGATAATATAATGTGCCAACTTAATTTAAAGAAGGATATTTTTACACATTTTTCAATGAAATGACGGTTCAGAGAGTTTTTCATTCAAATGATCATGTTTTCCAGGAAAAATTACCTGATGATGTCCTTGTGTTCCAAGATCAGGTTTCTTAAAATTTCCGGATTATTTTTAAATTCATCCTCAATCCCTCTGCCAAAGTTCCTCATTTTATACCCCAATACTCTCAAGCGGACTGAAGTGAACGATACTAAAGAAACAAAAACCACGTCAGTACCCACTATCAAACCTGCAGCCAAAGATGCGTTCCAAATTTGATAAAAATAAATGACATCGAACATTTTCACTTTGTCGAATGGTAACCATTCGGGAAATATGAGGGTTCTCTTTGGCTCCATGCCTTGCAATTCTTGTTCCCTCCACAGCTTCCAACTCCCATAAGCATGCAGTATGAACAGGATCAAAGTAATTGTAGTGACGATCAATAAGCTACAAAACATTTTGAAATTGTATCTGGAAAAATCACAGTGTATTCTCTTAATGCCGCTGTCTGATGCCGTTCTTGTTTGTCCCAGTGAGAAAACTTCTTTTAAGAGTTTCTTCGCTGGTGCTGATCTTACAAGGAACATTTTCCACGCCGTGAAAGCGTATTCTAACACGTATAACAGAGAATCTGCCTTTTCTTCACCGCTACTCATTATCGCACAAATCCATCCAATCGTGATTGTCACAACAAAAATTACAAAGTTGGCGTTGATGGTTTTGGAGTAGACTATGTAAAGGATTGCCAACATTTTATTGGACAACTTGAATGGCCAAAGTCCAAGTAGTATCATCATGATTTTTGTACATTTCAGGAAAAATGAACCGGACCCCATGACTAGCAATAGTGTAGATGGTGAGAAAAAGTTTGCGTTATATGAGCATTATTGAAGCATTCATCAATTATTTATTATGGATGTGGGAAAGTACAGGTTAGTATGATTGTAATACTTAATATGGAAGTTTCGTGTGGGAATTATAGGTTTCGATATGTGATATTTGACCTGTCAATGGAATTCATCGAATTATTCAAGAGGAAAAGGAACGTACTATACCTTCTCCAATTGTAGTTCAAAATGTGTTAATTGTAGTAAAAGTTCATGGTATCTCAAAAGTGGAGTGAATGGTTAAAGTAGTAGTAAGTATCTCCACAATGTTTTGGTAAAAATAATAAAAAATCTAGGGGATTTTCGGATATGTTTCTAAACGTCAGAGTTTCATTTTCAAGTCCCGAGGTGAAAATGAAAATTACTGATGATGTAAAATGAAAAGTTTATTTTTCAGTTTCACAATGTATTGAACACATTCTTTACATGACGAATTCATAAATAGTATTGTTAAAATTATAATATATACAAAGTTAAGTAAATTGCACGATTTCTGGAGTATTTGAAATAATATCTACAAAGTTAGTTACATCACTGGTGATTAAATTCCAGGATGTGTTTCTTGAATTTTTTGTTGGAACATTGCATGATCTTATTGAACCATAAGACAATATGAGATATATCTTGAAAACAATGCGAAGTGATGAATAAACAACTCAAACAGAACATTTCTTGTTTTGATATACCAGACACATGGAAAATATAATCAGTGACAAATCAAATTCTAATGTTTTAGTGAACTTTCAACATATACGTTGCTATCAACATATTATGTTGCACTGAGTTCCCTTAGTACATACCCATTAGTGTTATTACGAAAGAAAATATGTATACCATGTATACCAAATACTGTCCTGTGTGTGTATAGAGACTGACGTTACAATATTGAATATATAGGAAAAGTTGAGGGAGTTGAAGTTAAAAATTCAGCAGGTTTTAGTTAACTTCTAGAGTCCACTTCCTGAATATACACTGGATTCAGAACTCGTTATTAATACAAATTTATCTTAAGATTCTTGGAAAAAGCTGAAATGAAATTTCAAAATTCAATACATAATACATTGATTATCATGCATGTGATTTGCAGAAATATCTATATCATTTCGTCTGCTACGTATTTAAGAATCTTTAGTCATCGCCATGTATCTTCGGCTTTCCAGAAAACATCAACCAAAAACTTCGTGAAATAGCTATACTCGAAATTTTTCCTTATGTTTCCTGAGTAATGAGTTGACCATCATTCTTTAAAAAATGAATTCTATTTGATAATGCAAGGCAACTCTTCGTGCGGAAAGCTGAGAATTATCATTTCAGCCAGGTTGATGAAAGTTGCATTTGCCAATAAAGTCTACAGGACGTGCCATTAATAAGTGGACGATCGCTAACGTCGGTAAAAATGATATATATGACTGATAAACAGGATTCCGACAAAATGATGTTGAACATTTTTGAAACATCTGATGGAAATATTATTTCGGAACAGCTGAATTTATTTCTACCAGATTTGATACACAATGTGAATATTATTTAATAATTATAATAATAATTATTGATTATTAACAAAATAACGACTCCGTATCTCATTTTCCTAATTAGATAATTTTAATCGATTTGATGTTTAGTGCTATCAACTGAAAAATAACAAAACATTATGTGAACTAAAATGAAGTGAGTAAGCATTAGAATCCCTGAAGATTGTGATTCATTATCACACTGTTCCTTCTTGAGTGGGTATTATATTGTGTAAACATCTGGTAACGAAATATTGAGAAGTATCAAAATAGTACCTGAGGAACAAATAGAGTAGACATTGAGATAATGATAAAAATATTTTCTTAACATGAAATGAGTGAACACCTATATTTTTGTGCTGATGAGTTTTATTTCAGAACAATTGGATTCTGTTTGTGTGAATTTATTCTGATATAAGGAGAGAATAATGAGAGAACGAAAAAATCATCATAATCCCATTCATTCCACGTCATTTGGTATATCGTATATCCTTTCATGGATAAGCAATTCATATAAACTGTTCAACAAAATGAACATCGTGGTCCAAAATATATAGGCCGATTTCAAAATCAAATTCATCAAGAGGTTCCCCATAACTAATTTCTACTCGGTTTTCATGGTTGGCTAGCCCAATCTTTCAGTTAGCTACTCGTCCAAGCAATATATGAGACTACAAATATTCCAGATGAACAATCTACAGGATGATGATGATTGTAGTGTTAAATTGCAGCGGTTACGTTACGTTCCGGTTTGATCAAATATTTTTTATAATTTTTTTTTCGACCATACCTAATCATGAAGCTTGATTATTTCGAAATTTTTTCAATCAGACCCTTTTTGTCAGATACATATTTTTTTTTTCTTCAAAATTAAGTATTTTATCAACGAAAACTTGAACAATAACATTGAATATTCCTAATGTTCTTCGAAAAATTGACATCGTGTGGATAGTTCAGGATAATGTGAGAGTGTCTCGATACGAATACTGAAAATGAAGTACCTACATACAGGGTGATAGAAAAATTATCGTGATACTCGATGAAGAGAAACATGTCTTTCTTCAGATGAAACATAATTTTCTCAATTCCATTGATGAAATTACGAAGTGTTATACTATGAACATGTAGCTTGTTGTTTGGTCTTGAAATAGTTTTAAAAGATTTCAAATCGGAATCCACATTAAGGAGATATGAATTTTCATGGACAATGAATTTCGTATTTTTTGAAAAATCGGTTAGTAGAAGTCCCATTACATTACATATTAGAAATGTAGATTGTACTGTAGCAAACAGATATTTCTCAGGATATTTATAAAAGGTGCAAAAAATGGCAATAATGCAAGCTGATGAACTTATTTCGTTGTAGGAAAATGATTTCATGAATACGATACGAATAGTTCCCGATTTTTTAAAAGATCACCAAAATGCATCATTAAAATGATAATTCCATGATGCGGATTCAGATTTGGAAAATTCAAAAACTGTTTCGAGACTGTTTCATGTGTTTGATATGAAACTCCATAATGTTATCTAAGGAAATGAGAAAACTATCTTTCATCTGAAGAGAGATATGGTTTTCTTCATCGAATCTCATACAATAATTTTTATGTCATCCTGTATGTACTTCATTTTGAGTTTTTGTATCCGGACACTCTCACATTATCCAGAATTATCCGCACAATGTGAATTTTTCAAAAAACATTACGAAAATTCAATGTCATTTACTTATTCGTTGATATAATACATAAAGGGTCTGATTGAAAAAATGTCGAAATTTTTTCGAGAGAAAACATCAAACTTCATGATTATGGTCGAAAAAAAATTATAAAAAATATTTTCTCAAACGGGAACGTGACGACACCACTGCAATTTAACACTACTCCAATAATCATCCTGTATAGATCGTTCATCTGGAAATGTCGTAGTCTCATATTGATCTGACGAGTTAACTCGAAGGTTGGACTTGCCAAACCTGTGAAAACCGAAGTGAAATTAGTTATGGGATCCATGAGTAATTCGATTTTGAAATCAGCCTATATTTTGGACCACGACGTTTATTTTGTTGATCAGTTTATCCACACGTAGTCAAAGATCATCCAGTTAACGTACGTACAATAATCATCAATGGAACATACTGCAGTTTCTTCATTCGTTTTCAAGATATTTCTCAGAACAATTAGACTACCAATCGAAATCGATCGATTCATATTCGGTTACTATCGATGGCACTCGTCTTGCTGAATCCCTGGAGATGTGGTCCATCAACTGGCAACAGCCCAGCCTCTGTGCACGATCGGCAACAGAATCTGGCATAATATTTGTGCGTGCAGTATCTGGCCTTGACTATGAGGGCGCAATTCGCGAAGAATTGGTTGTCCGTGCAACTAGGATGGATGAAGATTCCTGAAAAATGAAAAAAAAATTCAAAATCTCTTGCAATGCATGAGAATTTAAGAACTTTCATCCAATATTTTTATTGTTCTGAAAGTGATTACGTATATCAATTAATGGTAGTAGAGCTAGGCAGTAACAATAAAGTGATCCTCCTCTGGGTGCCAGGGCATATCGGAGTGGAGGGGTGTTACATTTTTATTGTTTGGTATACCCTGTATTTTGTTGGTGTTCGGGGTGATGGAAAATAATAATAGTTTTGTCAGATTGATATTGTCAGATCTACCGCGAAATTCTTGGCTGAGAGGAGATGTTTCGTCGGTCTTCCTAAGTCGAGATGGGCACGTTATGAGCGCAGATATCAAGACGAAGATGGGTACCTGCAGAAGACCAGTAGTAAAATTGTGTAGACTCAATGTTAATATAGAAGAGTAATGTAGATCATTACTAGGGGGGAGAGTGTTACAATGTTATTGTTTTGTATACCCTGTATTTTGTTGATGTTCGCGGTGATGGAAAATAATAATAGTTTTCTCAGATTGATATTGTCAATAACTTTATAAAATTGCAATAAAAGACAGTTTTGGGCAGCAGCTGGTTTACTTTGCCTGCAGTATTATAAAGTAAACAACAAGGCGAATGAACAAGCAGACACTCCGGCACGACAAAGTGGCTTCAACGCCACTGAATTTGACCACAGCCATTCTGTGGCCTTGGAAATCCCTATTTCCAAGGAGGACTTGAAAAGGCGGAAGGAGCCTTGAGAGCCAGACAATGGAGAAAACTTCCAGGACTGAGGTAGGCTAAAGATCCCCTCGTGAAGAAGACACTGATAAACTTCAGCAAAGGAAGCCCCAGGGCAATAACGGGATTCTGTATGGAAGAATCAGAACGCTGTACATCACAAAACATTGAACATACTGGGAACACACCAGCTGACTGTGGAAGAAATACTACAACTAGATCCTCTCAAAATCCTCAAATTCCTGAAGGAATTGAATCTTGAGGGGCTGCTATGAACAAGAAATCTTTGCTATAGCAGAAGCAGATGGGGCACAATAGATCCAATTAGGTCGCAGCGCATTTGTCACCATCCAACCTACCAATACCAATACAATACAATAATGGTAGTACATGTACATTTTGTATTGAAGAAACCGTACAAGTATCAGAGAGAGAAATTAACGTCAACCTATTCGCGTGAAACATGCTATCGGGAATGATTGTTTACCAAATGTTGATAGTTTTCATTGATAGTATATTATACATATCAAGGTGGAAAGTGTTACATTACTGTCGAGAGATCGAAGTGAACTAATATCTCGTGACAGTGATGTAACTTTTCACCGAGCTTCGTATGCTTTTATTTACGACATAATTCGGAAATTTTTTCTCAATCAATAAAATTACAGAGACGACCATAGAATGGTAACTTCTATGATGACAGTCTTCTTCAGAAAGCATGTCGCACATGGACGCATAACAGTCCTACTAACGTATGCAATAAGAGCGCTGACACCATCAAATCGCGAAATGTTCACTGAAGAAAACTGTACATACAGAAACAATTAATCCTTAGTTTGACAAGTTCAGTTCTTGTTAATTTTTTGTTTACTCACCCTTAAAAAGTGCTAATTTTGTCAAGTGGGTTTGAGTCCCAATAAGAACAAATAAGAAAATGAACTATTTATTTAAAATACTTGAAAAAATACGTCTTCTCTCAGAATAATAAATAAAATCCACACACTGGTGGAAAATGTAGTTCGCTTAACACGTTGACTACCATGTCGACTTATAGGATCGAGAAAAAAAAATTCCGGACGTGCCGCCTCGGTCTCATAGACCGAGATTGAGGTTGATACACCAGGCTGACTCGGTCTATGAGACCGAGTCAATTGAATGACTCGTGAAGCCGTCGGTCTCAATTATTGTCAATGATATCGCGGAGAGTGGGAGGCAAATCATCAGTATGTACACATCAGAATGTTTGGCAGGCCGATACTGTGAAATAAACCTTTATTCAGTGGATATAACGTGACATATCTTTTTTTTTAGCAAAAACAATCGAATATAAGTGTTCCAAGAATACGTAATCTATATATTCTTATAGAATTTGTTGTAACAATCTAGGAAAAATACATATTTTTCAGGACATACTTTACAGAAGGTGCATTTTCTTTTCAGATCAGGATCAGACATCTATCCTGATTCGTTCTTAATTTTTTGGACCCGGGGTCCCAATTATCAAAAATTTCAACGATGTACTATCTTCTGTAGGCTTCAGCTACATAGTCACTGATGGTTTCTGGGACAAATTTTTCAATTTTGCTTCGGCTCTGATACCAACAGTGTGAATATGAGCCCGGCAGTCAACGTGTTAAGAGAGCTGGCTTACACCCTTTTCAGGTACCGGCCATCAGCTCTCTGCTTGCAGAGTTTTTCGGATGTGTTTTGTAGACCATATGCTGCAGTGGCAGGCATTCCAGCTACCTTGCTAGGCCCCATTAGAGTGCCTCTAAGTACCATTGGCTCGCTTTCAGGCTCAGCTGGTAGTTTTCCACACCCACATACACCGTCCTACTTCTTCTCTGATGCTCACAACTGACACATCATCATCATTCCTTCCTATGTGTTCTGTGATGGCTTGCGCTACTTTAGGAGCAGCATTCTCAATTGGAACGCAACAGTGAATCGTGCAGCACTACCTCCACCCGATGCTCCGAAACTTTACAATATTTAATTCCTAAATTGAATATTAGAAAAATTCCTTGCCCTAGATTTGAATCCACGACCTCGCGGTCATGAGTCTGGGAGGGTCTGGTGCCTATGTCGATTCTGTGAAGTGATTAATTTGAAAACCAGTACAAGACATCTGACATATCTGTTTGTTTCGATACCAGACATGAAGACCGGCATTTCACGAACATTCGCAATTAAAGAAGCAGTATCAATACTGTCGAAAATATATATGCAATGTCCTTACGTCCGAAGAAGTTATCCAACGACAGATTTTCGTTACGATACGCTAATCAGAAATGTACTTCCCAACCTGTGGAATAATTGACACTTTGTCAAAAGTTCCTCCAAGAGTTGCTTCATCTGGCAAACGCTGAAGTTTATAATGGCGGCCATTGTATGAGGCGTACACCGCTGATAAAGGTGCTGATTTTACAACAATTAAACCACATGGTGGATCGAGAATCTCAGCTATAGCAGAAAGTTATATAGAGGATTCTACTCGTCTATCTAATAAGCTCGATATAGCAAGAAGAATCTATGGTTCTCCTGGTTCTGATAGTTTTTTTTACAAGGAGATTACTCGTCACATGATCTATTATGATAAATGACTTCGTTGAAGACGACAAATAGAAAAATCGATAATCACCTTGAATTGATATCATCAGAGTACTAGATGCTTTGGAATAAGCATTGGTAGCTTCACACTGGTAAAATCCTGAGTCTGCTTTGGTTGCACCTTGTATACTCAACGTGTTAGTGTCTGAAATCAAAGGATCATCAGTATTTACATTTGAACTGTTAAATTGAAGAGAAGGAAACTCATACCTGAAATAAAGATTTTTTCTGATGGATTCAACTGAACACCGTCCTTGTACCATTGCACCTGAGGTGTTGGATATCCTGTTACCTCACATGGCAATTCTATGTTACTGCCTATTGGATACCTCGAGTCGGTTGTAGTTATATTTGCTCTCACAGGCACTAAAAAAATAGTGTGGGGATTAGAAAAAGAAGGAAAGAAAAATAGACAGTAAATTGATGATATCTGGAATTCAACTCAATTAATCATACCAAGAAACAATACTAATAGTGATGCAGAATAATTAGAAGAGAAAGATTATTAAATAGAAAACTAGCTACATGCTTCTCACAATATACATACAATAATAAATAGGTAGGTAAGGTAGGTACTGAAAATGTCAATGGATCCAAATCAATTTATAAAGTTTCATCAAACAATATTCAACTCAACACCGGGATGCCCGGAAATAACATAAAAAGATTTATGCAGATTCTAGGAAGAGAAATAGTAAAAAGAAGTGTATACGTAAACAAGGGTCCAGAAATCGCCGCTTATAGGGTTGCAACGAGCCTGAGATAGAGGGGGAGTCGTTAATCTACGGATAGATGCTTTTTTGTAAATATATTCGAAACACTTCGTAAGAAAATAACCAAATTTTGTACATTCACTTTAAATTCTTTGCTCAATTTGAAAATGTTGAAAATATTTAGAAATTTCAATCAGGAGCATTAGAAATAAAAAAAGTATGGGGTCCTTATTTTTCCCCTACTTTTTTGTCTATGCAATGTTTGACAGTTTAACCAAGAAATATAGAAATATAGATTGAAAAATATGTATGGTGAGATCAAGGAAAACGCACTATTTTTATTATGCATAGCAGAATTATAAAATCGGTTTATCCCGAAAACGGTGCATGCAATAAAATTGGTTATAACCCTAGAGGGTATTTCTGCATCCGTGCATGTTAATATAAACTTTTTTACTATTTTTGTTCCAAGAATCTGCAGTTATAATTTATCTATATATATAATATCGGGGCACCCCATTGAAATAAATGGAATCTCAATTTTCATATGCGTTTGTGGCAATTATAGTAATCTAGATCCAAGGACAGTGCTTCTTTCAAATTATGATTAGTGTACAGAGTGTTTACGAACTTTCTCTCAAATAGCAATCAACAATGGTCCGTTGGCACTAATGGAAAATTCAGTTCCATTTAAGAGCGTATTACGGCCAACAAACATCAAAATATACACAGTTTTTGCAATTTGGAAGTGATTTGAATTCAGCAATTCACACTAAGTAGTATTAATTTTATAAATTACTAGCTGTGCCCTGCGCGCATTGCTATGCTACTTACTTAAATAAATTTGAAGGACAGACAGTACACAAAAAAATCTTTGCACAAAGTTTCATAATGAAAAACCATGAAGATCTGGATCAGAGGATATGTTTGGTTGTTATAACTTACAAATTAATGTTTACCCAATAACTCACAATTATTAGTTTTTTTTATTTCTGGTCCATTTAACGCACTTCCACGATTTTTTTTTCAAACTTCACAGGTATCTTCCTTTTCTATACGATTTAAACAAGAAAATCTAGAACCTGCATTATCTATCATCGAAATTTCATTTCCATTTCGATAGACACTCCGAGCCATACCTCTCATCATCAAGAACAGGGCCGGATTCAAGCATAGACGACATAGGCCCGAGCCTCGGTGCCCCACAAAGGGGCCCGCACAATTAAAAAAAAACAAAATAATTCCGCTGGTATAAACTTTTAGGATTTGCTTAGTATAGAACACGACATTCTGCTACAAGTCAACCATGAGAATACCTATCATAAACGCCTTCATTGTGGACAAGCTTAGACAGAAACCAATCTGCAAGAGTGACTGATGAAGTGAACACGATTAGCAGTATATTATTTAATATTTCAAAAAAGTTTTATTCAAGAAATACTTATGTTTTGAAGAAGAGATAAGTATTTAATATTGACTTGATCTTTTTTTGTTGACTAACCAATGTACATTGAACTGTTATATATAGTTATGTTCACTTCCGTGGCGTATCTTAACCGACGATAATTTGTGTGACGAATCAACGATGTGAAAGTTTCTTTAAAAATCAACATTTTGCACCTAATTCTTCTATTTTTTCCGGGCGAGGCTCCCGGCCCCATCCTTTCATTGGGGGGTACTATACCCCCGATGCCCCACGAGCCTGGGGTCCGCACCACAGGTGGAGCCTAGGACCTGTATTTTCTAAATCCGGCCCCGATTAAGAAGCTCGTAAACACCCCGCACCAAAAGAAAACCCATGCATACCGACAAGACTAGGCGGCTTCCACATCACAGTAGGTGCCACTGACCCAGGCACGATCTCATTCGAGGGTTCCGTGTACATCGCAGGCGGCACGAACGGCTGAGGAGTGGGTCTCCTAGGGGGATACCTAGGGGTAGGAGCGGCAGTGGTAGCGATAGGGGTAGGAACGATGAGGCTAGGCTCCATCGGAGGATCGACAATGAACTCTCGGTATCTATACTCCCTAGGGTCGGAGAACCTATAGGGGCCTCTGGCCTTGACAGTCACCGACCAACTAGCAGCTTTGCCGAAGCCGTTATACGCTTGGCAGGTGTAGATTCCGAGGTTGCGCAGCTTCACCGAGTGGATGAGCAAAGAGTAGTCTTTGCGCACCTCGAATTCGCTGTTTTTGAAGGGGAGCATGGAGTCGTCCTTCCACCAGGTGACTGAGGGGAAGGGATGGCCGAGGACGAAGCAGTTTAGGGTTGCGGGGGCGTTGAGGGAGACTATATGGGGGGGTTGGTTCGCTTGGTCGTCCAGCATGGTGACGGGGCGGGGTTCCGAATCTATGTGGGGTGGGTTGGAGAGAAGAGAGTTAGTGCTACAGAACATGCTTGTTAACATTTAAAACATTGAATAGGTCTACAACAGTGTTATCGAATAGGAAGAAAATTACTAGGATCTGTCAGTCTACTGGGTGAACAACTAAGAATATAGCTGTCGGCCATATAGCAACGAATATTGATACAACTTTGAAACAAAAAATATCTCAAGAATAGTGTCCCTAAAAATAGCTGGAAAATATTCTCAGGTTTCTAAAATAACCACTAGGTGGCTTAACGGCTATAAATAAAGAGAATTTTGAAATTTTCTACGTATTCAGTAGTAACAAGGTGTACTGAAAATATATTATGCAGTTTGATCCTTGATATATTCCTAGTTTTTTTTGTTCCATACTTTTTGTCCCATTCCAAAAAATTAAGTGGTGGGGGAACGTCAAATTATGTTTTTTCTAAAGGTCTGTAACTCTGGTTATCTTCAACAGAATTCAACAATCTTTGGCTCGTTGTAAAGGCATCTTCCTGTTCTAATTGAGGCCTCTTCCTGATTCGAATTGGATTAATATTCATATCACTGTCGCCGCTAGAAGACGTGATCTAGAGTGCCAAGAGTTATCGTGATTTGAAAAAATTTAAGTGTTATGGTATGCATGTTATAACACGATGAAATAGAGACACTAAATCTCCACAGACCAACGAAAACAGCAACATGATAGGTTCTCGCTAACGGAAGATATTAACGATCAAAGTTGGAAGAATGCTTGATGACAGCCGTTCTTAGTTGTTCACCTTGTACAATAGTGTTAACATCAAAAAAAAAGGAACACTTGGTTAATGATTTGTGTATCGTACTATTTGATATCTCGACGGAATGAAAGTAGATTTCATAGATCTTATTGGTGTTCGTTCGAAATTAATGATATGACTTGTGGATGCACTTTTTCTACAACAACAATTAACTGATGAACTGGTATTTACAGTTATATTTTGAAAGTAAAAATATTATCAGTATGAAAAATGGCAGATGAATAACATTTCAACGGCTACTACGATGTCACAATCACTTATAGATGCCAATAGGGTTTTCCTCATCCTCGTTTCTAAATGAAATGGAGGGAAAATCATATAAAAACCATTATATTTCTTTATTAGTCTTTCAAATCAGTGAATTATTCTTATGGTGTAGACAATTTCTGGATATAGTCCAGAGGTCCAAATTGAAATAATTGCAAGATTGTGAAAACTATTTTTTTTTTCTACATTTCAACCCAGTTGAGGGAAAACGAGGATGAAAACTGAGATAAGAATAATAGAAAATTATCGGAAAGTAATACAGTTGAAAAAATGTCGTCAATATCTTGATGTTAATACATGATAATTACACTAAACTACAGGAAGGTAAAGAAATAACTATATATTAATAAACTCACAGTGCTCCAGTTGAGTATAAGCGAGCATAGTTCTTTTCGTAAACTTACCAACTTCAAGAAACTTATTCTTACCTAATACATCCAGTCTGATTTGATTCGTGATAGGTTCTCCAATACCATTATCAGCGGTACAGAGATAGATTCCTGAGTCTGTTTTATGCAAGGTGATGATCTGCAATGACTGATCTAGCTTGATCCTATACCTTGGTTGAGTACCATCAATCTATAAAATAATATAAAATCAAAGCCACCCCCTTTCTAAAACGCCATTTTTTATGTTCACAATAATAAAATGATGATGTCACCCCTGATTTGTTTTTTCACTACGTTAAACTATTCTCAGTTAATGTAGGTATTTGGCATTTACAGAAAACAATTTTGAAATGCCAAAATCTTGCAAAGACTTGAATGCTCACAATAGGAAAATGTTACAAAGAAGCTAACCTATAGGTAAAATGATTTGAAATATGTGATTATTGTATTGGATTGCTGTTTTTTATGATTGGAATATTCATTTTTTGCAATTCATTGATCAGTTGGTTTATTGTTCTCACCATAAGGTCATCTTTGCTCCACCTAATCCTAGGGTTAGGATTTCCAGAAATAGCACATCTCAAAGTAGCCTGGTCTCCTATGAGACCTGTAGTTTCCGGCTTGTATTCCATGACATCAACCTTGGGAGGTCGATCTAAGAAAAACATGTCGAACAAAAATCGTAAATGTATATGAAGTACAAAAAACCCATCAGTATCATCTTCATAATCATTCAATAATAATCTTAGATGGTTTCAGACGGTTCATATAAGTTTGTCATTACCGAAGAATCGGCTAGCTATACAGGGTCAAAATATAAGATTTAACAAAAATCATCTAGATGAAATGCATCTCTTGTCTGTTTCTGGGTGTTCTAATATTATATTCAAACAATTTTTTTTTCAATATGGATTGAAGTTTCATTTGTCTAATGCATGCAATCCAATGATCCAAAACAACTACATGGATAATATACACATCAAAATCAAAATAACTGTACAGCATCATGTTCAACTTGAAATATCTTAAAAAATGAAGGTGTCTATGCATCGATACGTATGAACGAATACTAATTAGATTTCGGTAGTATGTAATTCAATGTTCTGCGTGGCATCAGCCAAGAAAATATATGTTTTTCTCTCGTCATCTCCCATTGTTGTTAATTTTATGAACTTTTGTGGGAAATGACTTTTTTGTGTTCATTTAATCTTTCATTCCACTTTGAGCATTGTGGCTATTTTGTAGTTGAAATTACGCCACTCCGACTTTTGGGTATTTCAGTTTTGTGAAGTGTTTCTTTCCTTCTATGTGATCTAGATGGCGTTGAACCCGTTTGGCACACCTGTGCCCACGGGATATTTCTGAGACCATAAATATTGCCGATTGAAGTTCGTTGGGCCAGGTAACGCTTAGCAGGCGGTCTTCGGTCTGCAAACTGTAGACCACTCTACACTGGTGAGAGTCAAGGAGCTCGAAACCCTTCTGTAGGTGTCGGTGCGTTCATACGTATCGATGCATAGATTTCGGCAGGATCTAATTCAATGTTCTGCGTGGCATTAGCCAGGCAAGTAGTTGTTTACCTCCCGTCATCTACCATATAATTCTTGTTCATTTAATGAACATTGTGTGGAAATGACTTTGAGCTTTTTTGTATTTATTTACCCTGTATATAGGCTAACCGTCTAAGATTTTTTTCATTTGAAGGGTGTATTAGGTGAAAATAGGGAATGTCCTCGCGAAAAATGTTAAAGATAATGTGATTTTAAAGATTAAAACATCACAGCTGAATTGTTTTTTATGTAATGAAAGCCATTCTATTTCAAGAACACCTCATATTTATTGAACAACAAAAATAATATTCAACTTGAACATAGGAGTGGAATTTCTTTCAAAAATACCACTAATATTGAGGTATCGTCTGCTTATTTCAGTTTAAAACAGGATATGTCCAGTCGTATGTACATACCTATAACAAGGAACATATCTCAAGAAAAAGAGTTGAACGCAGACGAGAACGAAGACAAAAACGAAAGTACGAACTCCACAATTTCACATTTACTAATCAATTGAGACGATTATTGAATGGGCAAAGGGCATCTCAATGCAAAATAAGTATTGTTCTGATAGGACATTTCCCGTTTATTACGTTTTTGGATGGACATCCTCTGTTTTCTCCGTATATGGCATTTTAAAACCAAATGTTGGAGAACATGACGCTCCACGTTTTCTCGTGATTTTAGTTAAGCATAGCTTGATACTTCAAATTTGCTAATAGATTGCATCACTAACACGTTTTGAACAAAAAAGGACATTCCCTGTTTTCTCCTGACACCCTTAGTTTGATGATTGCGTATCTGTCTTTGAATTTATCTGTATCTTTATCCCTGTGACCTTACATTGCGCTTCTATAGGCCCCTCCGTAAACGCAGGCTGCGGCTGCTGCGTCACCAGCTGGGCAGGTGGCGTGGGGTCCACACACGCAGTGCCGCAGCCAGTGGAGCAGCACTTCAGGTGCAACGTGCAGTCAGCGTCGGTCCGGCACTCCTCCTCACAGTTGTTGTCGTTGATCTCCAGGTTGGGACACGAGCCAGGTTTCACGCCTATAGAGGCAATTACGAATATTCAGAGGGAGAAATGAATTGCCAAATGATATTTTTGAAGTTTACCAACAATCGTTTTGGGTATAGTCTATCTCATGGTGGAATATATATTTCCACCATGGTCTATCTTAGAGTCACCGTAGTTAGAGTTCCTAAATGTACTTGTCACTGCTGTTTTGACGTTTTTTGTATAGGACACTATGAAAACACTGACAATCAGACATAACCACAAATAAATTGATGGAAAGAGCGGGAACTGACCGTACACGGAATTACATGACAAAAATTTCAGGTTTTGACAAATTGAGAGAATTAGGAGAAAGATGCAAGTTTGTGCAGTTTCCAACTGTGAGAACACGGGAAATCAATTCACTCTATTCGAATTTCTATCGGATAACGTAATTCTACAAAAATGGAAACAGAATATGATGCGGCCGGCATGGAATATAGGTTCAGGCCACAAAATTTGCGAGGTATTCATTTTTCAACCCCTTTTTTATCAGGTACCCTTCAGAACGGAAAATTTGATGTTGAATAATAGGATCGTATTGAGAGGAAGAGCCGAACCCACTATTTATAAACTGAGCGAGTATCGAAAAGAACCTTATTCGACACCTTATTCCAATTTAGAACAAAAAAAAAAAACGAAAAACTTGCAGATAATGATATTCATTTCGAACATATTTCGAAAGAAAAAGACGAGAAATATTAAAAATCCAAGGTTTACGAGTGGAAGAGAGTGAGGACTCCAGGAAAGAAAAAAATAGAGAGTTGCAAAAAAAAGTTGAAGCTTTATATAATCAAGGGTTAAAGGAAGAAGATTTATATACAAAAGTCAGAGTTAGCAAAATTCAGAACTATTACCTAAAAATTATTTCAGATTTGAAACAAAATCAGCAAATAACTTATTCAAACCAATAATCCCCTTCAGCAATGTGAACGGCGATCTATAGTGAATCGAGCGCTGATATCCATTTGTACCTATACTTCCGTATGTCTTGGAGAACCTTATTATTTATCCTAACTGAAATCAGCTGTTATACCTACCCCTCTTGTACAAGTGAAATTGTTCCGTATGAAGTAAAAGTATGTTTCATTGGTTGAAATTTATCAGTTTTTACCCCATTCTGAACTTTTGTGTTGAACAAATATTCAACTACCTAAATAGAAGAGACTCCTTTTATATGAATAGTATGTGTATTTAGTTGGTATATATCTACATACCAACTTGATATCGACCTCCATTGAGGTCCTTCAGCCTTATCATTCAATATTTCGAGAAGAAATAATTTTCTAATCAATTTATCGTACCCTTTTACCCACTCGAGGAGACGCTATGCACTCTCATACAAAAATCAAAGACAGAGAAAGATATATGGATGTACCCTTCCCAGGACTTGTGGAGGAAGGAATATGCGAGGATCGTTCATCCAAGCGAAAAACAAAAGGTGGATATATGTATGGTGAAATAGCTCCCTCTTACAAAACCCTAGACATTTTTGTAGACCTCTGGCCTACTTGATTATGTCGAATTCTATCACCGTAGTAAGGCCGCGCAAAACTAACGCTAGATGGCGCTGTTCCCGAAGTGATCTTGCTACACAATGGTTGTTTTGTTTTGTTGTTTACATTTACGTATATTGATTCGTAATTTAAAAACTTTGAGAAAAAGTGATTGATTTAATGGAAAAGACGTGAAATTTTCATTATATCTGTGAATTATATGTGGCACGATGTTCCCTACGCCATCTACAGTCAATCCGGTGCGGCCTTGCTACGGTGTTTCGCGGTCTACACGTTTTGGAAAAAAACAATTGACAAGTGGTTACACCAGTCTATTTTCATCATGGAAATACATTCTTGTCTGGCAAAACATATGATTTGCTTCAAAATCGTTTGTGGGTATGTTTGATTGTCACTGCTTGTCTAGTGTCCGTACTCTAATATACAAAAAACGTCAAAACAGCAGTGTCAAGTACATTTAGGAACTCTAATCAGAACCACCACTTACGTTTCCTGCAAACGGCGATGAAAGCGGCATCTCGCGCCGAAGTCCTGTTCCTGTTGATGTCGATGGCGCACTGCTCGTCATCGGGACACCCGATCCCGATGCAGGGGTCCAGGCAGCGGCACCTGTTGCACTCCCGCTCGTCCACGTAGGGCTCCACGCCATAGGCGCACCTGCGAAGAGATTTTGAAGTTTTTCAACAATAGGTCGCGTGCACGATGACCGACCCTGGAGGCAAAATATTGAAACACAACCCCACTCTTCTGTGAGTTATTGAAACACAACCTCACTTTTTCTTATGGGTTGCGTGCAAGAACCAATGAACTCAATAGGTCGCGTGCACGAAGACCGACCCTGGAGGCAAAATATTGAAACACAACCTCATTCTTCTGTGAATTATTGAAACACAACCTCACTTTTTTTATTTGGTTACAGAGGAATCAAAAGGTTGAAATAGTTTTTCACAATATTTTGGCATACGAATCGTGTTTCTTGCGTTATTCATTAATTCAAGCATGCCTTCGCATTGTGCTGTTGAACAATGCACAAAAAATGCAGCAAGAGACTAGGGAATATGATTTTTCAGGTAAATAGTAATCTCACATAGTTAGCATTATGAAATATTGTCATTTCTTATTAAAATTCCTTCTGCCTTCTGCCACTTCTGCAATACAAGCTAATGCTGCTAATAGATTGAAAATGTCTACAACACACACGATCGTCAGCATGTCAGACCAGTCCTACCGATTGATTGCATGAATCCAATCTTCTTGCATTATTCTAATTTCAGGTATATTTCTATTAGCTGATCCTATTGCAGAAGGAATTCCGATGAGAAATCAGAGAAATAACCAAATTTCAAAAATGAAAACTATGTGAGTGACTATAGTAGGTAGGTACTTACTTTTGAATCATAATGTACCATCCGGATTTCTTCATCTTCCGCTGCAGTTTTTGTGCATTTTACAACAGCACAATGTGATGGCATTAGCGAATTGATGAATAGCGGAAAAATACGATTCATATGCCAAAATAATTGTGGAAAACTATTTCGATCACTTGTAAACAAATATGTTTTGCCTCCAGGGTCAGTCATCTGACAGTTCTTGCACGCGACCTATATAAACAACGCAAGAACTGTCAGATGACCGACCCTGGAGGCACAACATTGAAATATGTAATATCAATGAAATATTTCGTTCATTCAACATCAAGCCTCGTCCATAATTGTATTGAAGAAAAGAATAATCAAAGAAAACGAATCAGAACATATCACGTGATAGGAATGGTTCTAAATATTTAGACACTTCTCACCTGAGGGTGGTGCATTCGTCGAAAACTTCCTGGCAAGGGTGCGGGGCGATGTCTGTTTGTACGTTCGGTAGAGCTGAAATATAACATTATCTTTTTTTATGACAGGAATTGAATGAATATATACAGGGTGTGAACAAATAAGTGTCACAACGGAAAACTGTAGATTCCTCATTATAAAAGAAACATTTCTTTCCTCTTCAAAATTTTTCTCCAGGCTTCCGTTTTCTAGATACAGGGCGTCAAAAAATCGACACTTCACAACACTTGATAAACTTGACAATTTGAAAACCAGCATCGAGACCAGCTTAATCAAGAACCTGACATTTGATTGAACATTTTCTTAGACAGTTAGGTGTTTATTTCCAGTAGATTTTTGGAGATACCGTCAGGATTTTGTATGTTCTTATTCATAAAGAGCCATTTTTCGCAGAAACTTTTCACTTAAGAGCATTGAGACAAGAGGACGTTATTGTGTGAAAGATTATTGGCGCTTCAGAATCTACTTCGAAAATTACAATTTCCCCAGTGGCATAAATGTTTGGGGGGTTAAACCCTTACGAGGCGTTGAATTCTCCTCCACTGACATGTCCAAGGAAATTGATCAAGAGCCCTAAAAGTAGTCATTATTGATGATAAAGTGTGTACGAAGGCTTAACTCCGTAGCTCAAACGGTTCCTAAGATAATAGCAAAAAAACAGTTTTTTTTTGTATTATTTTGACGCACTGTATCTTGAAAACGGAAGCCCGGAGATAAATTTCGAAAGGGAGAAAAATGTTTCTTTTTTCATGAGAAATATACAGTTTTCCGTTGTGACACTTATTTGTTAACACCCTGTATTGATGGCTTCTGTGGTGCTAGTTCCGAAAAATAAGCCAATAACACTGTCTCCGAGAAGAAGTCTTCTTATTTTTCATACCACTTTGCGGTTACTTCAACTAGTCAACAACCACTAAGTTTGCAATTTTTTCAAATCAAATCACAGAATCACACTGAGAGATATTTGATTAGTTCAAAATAATGATAAAGATGCCTGTAACGCAATTTGTGCTGAAAACTTTTTCGCGTCGATAATTTTCTGATTTTGATATAATTTAATATCTTCTCAGCGTTGATCCATCCTTTTAGTAAAATATTAGACACAACCTCGAGCTGAAATCTACAACTTTTTTCCCTTGTATAATAAATATCTTGTGCAATAAATAACTGTTTTCAATTTTTGTTTCACAAAACTCACTTCTCTGAAGACGTTCTCAGGGTAATTTTGTTGTCAGATTTCTTATAATTAAGGTTCTGGTGCTGATAAAATTCAAGTGCAACACTAAACTTGAAAGTGCATTGCTGGAAAGTGCTAGAATTACACCTAAAGCCGAAGTGCGAGTGTGCAGTGCTCATTAAAGTTTCTTTTCACAACTTACGAGGCTCTGTTCGAGGCAACAAGTCTCGACAGAAATCTAGACAAGACTGGTACGATTTGAAATTGTTGAAATTGCCTCCGCATCCAGAGAAAATGAACGCAATACATTCCCCTCTGAGATCATCGAAGTACCAACGTTTGTGGTACCCTTCTTCGCAACTACCTTTATCCACCTGCAGTTGGCATATCGCTACAGATATAGAAAACAGAATTAGATTAGGTTAGAAGTGAGCATGCGCATTCTGTTAACAACCCCAGAAAACCTTAGTGCTCAGTAAAGACTTAGAGTTTACGTACCTGTAGCTGTGATATTAGGTTTGGTTTCTTCATGAACCACGCAAATATCTTCGCATTCTTTGGCTGAGCTGAATCTGTTTCCGTTTCCTTGACATCCTCCGAATGCGAATTGTTCACAACGTCTGCTGTTTCGGTTGTAAAAGTACTTGACGAAGTACCCTCCGCATGGCCCGACGTCTCTATCCATATTGCAGATATCTAAGACATAATTTCAGAATTACAATATATCACTAAAAATATTCAATCTTGTTATTGGCGCATCTTGTTATTCACATTCGAAAAAGTACCTAGATCTAGGGAGAATCTAATCTGCTTTACATAGGCTCTGATGGAACGCAAATGGGCGTGTGGCGTGTACACCTTAGTAGAACTTTTAACTCAAACCATGTTTATAATGATCCTTTTATACATAAATAATGATTGACGACATAATTCGATGGAAAAATCAACTGGAATGTTATATTTTTGAACATAAATAATAGTACCTTCCGAAAACGGACCCTCTTATGACGTAGAAACATCATCTCGCCATAGTTGAAAGAAAATACCAAACGCCCGACGGAGACTGAGGCAACTGATATATTCATTCTTTCAACTGTGATTTCGCGCTAATTCACTCTGTCAGAAATCATGTATCATTCATCTCTGTCTGGAATAGTCTTGTTTCAGTATTAGGGTTTTGACGTCACATCATCGCCTCGTTTTCAGAGGTCCGAAAAATCAGGGATTTCAATAATTTTTGTTAAAACGTAGGAAGCTCACAGCTAGAAACGGTTTGCGGTGGTGAGCTATTTTGGGTGAGTTCAATCGAAATATGAAATAAATTGTTTTTGTGATATAAGCCCATTGTAACTTCCGTAGAATCTGGGGAAAAAATTTATGAGAAATATTTCTGAATTTTAATGAAAATTTTCCTACAGTATAATATTGTGATAAAAGTGATAGATTTTTACATATATCTCCGCTGATTTTGACAGAACAATCCTGTTTCATGCTCTATTGTAGCGCACGAGAGGTTATTATAGCGGTATTGGTATACCCATGTATACCCCTAAACCACTCGCCCATAACCGCACTAGCGTTCCTAACCCTTTCGAGTTTTCACTGTTGTTTGATGGAAGGATGAGCTGTATGGGCTTGCAACTAATCATCGTATGTCAAATGTTCAACATTATGAGTGAAAGTGAATGTTATTCGTATATCGTGATTTGATTTTGACGAGAATCTTAGGACATTGATATCGGTATCGCGTATGTTAGGGCTACTTTTTTTTTACGAGTTTTGATAGAGTTATGTTCGATTGTTCTCGTCTGGGTATTGGTAATCTAGCTATATATTTGTTGATCTGACTCAGGTTTGTTAGTTCCCCCCTGTATATATTTTTCATTTGACATAAGATTTTTGCATTGCCCTACTGCTATTGTACGTTACTACGCGTGGACGCTCTATATATATCACCAAATGTGGCATCCGGTTAGCATACTCGTCGGAGACAGATGTCCTTGAAAGCGTAAATTTTTGCTATTTTTGAGCTTGAAATTCGCTGAAAAAGTCCGAAGATCTAGGGGAAAATCTGATCTGCTTTACATGGGCTTTCATGGGGCTTTCCGCTGCGCATCGCGAAATTTCTGTAGAATCTAGAGAAAAAGGACTTGAAATTTTGAAAAAAGATCTGGTATCGGCATTTAACTGTATTCCACCTATACTTAACTACACTCTTCCCAGAAATGGAGGCACCATCAAAAAGTATCCAGAAGTTTGACACGAATTCTCATCAAAACTATACTTGCCCGATTTGGGCGTTTTTTGTTTTGAATAACAGGTTATCTCCTTCTAAATATTGGCATGCAAACTGTATTCGCATGAAAACTTCTTCTTTTGTGAATACCGGGTGTAGCAATTATAGTGTATTTTTTTATGAAATTTGAAATACTCTGTGGAGTGTAACAGTTTCAGTATCAAGAATTACAGTCAGTCAAGTTGACCTCCCTGCCGATTGATGGACGGATGATCCGTTAGCTCAATTGACAGAGCATTGGGCATGTAACCCAGAGGTTGTGAGTTCGACTCTCACACGGGGCGGTGGAGTTTTTTCATTTTCCATTGTCACTCGAAATTAGGGCTTTTCATCTTTATCATTATATGTATCTTTTCGGTTGATTAACCGACAAAAATTATGATTTGACTCTGATAAATGATTAAATCCCGAATGCCTACTGATTTCGATTTAGCCAGGATATACTAGACACCTACAGACCGGTTTCGTGTTCTTTAACTCTCATCAGTGCAGGGCAGTCTCCAGCTAGCCAACCAATAATCAAGTCGGCATTATATTCCCTGAAAGGCGTCCTCCATAGACAACATGAGAGCAACGCCATCTGATGAGTAGAAAAGAAGGAAAGAAACGCTTATAACGAGTCGATGCATAGATTTCGGGAGGATACAATTCAATGTTCTGCGTGGCATTAGCCAAGAAAGCAGTTGTTTTCTCCTGAAATCTACCATTGATGTTCATTTTATGAACATTGTGTGGAAATGACTTTGACCTTCTTGTAATTATTTAATATTTCATTCCACTTTGATCATTGTGGCTATTTCGTAGTTTTTATCATAAGAATAAGAATATATATTTTGGAAAGGTGAGAATAAAACCAAATTGATACCTTGGCCTCTGAATGATCCACATTGCCTCTCACATTGCTCCTCGCTATTAAATCTATTGTCATTGCCGCCACATCCTGTATACGTGAATGGGGCACACCTTGACGTCTCCTGGTCGAAGTAAAAGGCCACGTAGTTATCAGTACAGTTTCCTGAATCTGCTGGTATGAAGCACATCTTCATATCACTTGGAACTGGAAGAAAAAATACCATGAAGGTAGATGTAATGTGGTCGTAGAAACATTCTAATTAATCTTAAGCGCTTTGAATTCACCATGGTTTCTGAAGCTATTCGGCTGGGTACTTTGGAAACTCTGTTGAACAAATAAAAAAAAACACTCATAATTTTTGTTGGACGGAAGATGTCATTAATAATAAAAGAAAGACGTTTGAATGCCTCATATTTCGGTATAACGACATAAGTACCTGAGGAAAAATATACATGAACATTTTCATAACTTAACTTTGTCTATAAGCGTTTTTTGTGGTATTTCAAAAGATCACAGAGTGTATTGTATTGCTTCAAGATTTTGATAGCAAAATCAATAAAAAATGTGGACTGAGAAAACTTACTTTGTGGTGGTTGTGTGACTGCAGAAGGTTGGGATCTCCTACATCTCTGTTCGCAGGTGTAAATATCCTGGAATCTGTTGTAGTTACCACCACAACCTCCATAATTGAAACGCTGACAAGTATCGCTGGAGGGTTCGTAGTAGTATTGTGGGACAGATGCATTGCAAGTTCCAACAACAGGAGGCAGTGTACATAGATCTGTAAAAAAACATCGAAGTTGGTATTTATATAGTATGCTAACAAATTATGCTGCACGTATAGCGAATCAAGTGTCCCTTAGAAAAATATGTTTATGTCCCTGAAGTCGAGATTTCCATTCAATGGGTGGAAATCTACTATAATGACACAATCTGTCTCCATCAGGAGATATATCAACCAATAATATAAGCAAAAATTGCATAACTCCTGGAGTCATCTTTTTGGTTTTCTTTGGAATGGTGCATGTAGGAGAAATATCGAAACTTATGTTCCACCCATTACATCTTTGATTTCAGCCCCCTTGAGCAAAAATTGCATAACTCCTGGAGTCATCTTTTTGATTTTCTTTATAATGGTGCATGTAGAAGAAATATCGAAACTTCCTCCCATTACATGTTCATACTTTTCGTTTACTTATTTTTTATGTTCAGGTTCCCACGAAACAGGATATCCTGTATTGTTCAGAGAACATCGTGAGAACCAAGGGAAATGGGGTAGGAATTTGTGTTCTTCTTGAATTTCTGAATGTGATATGGCTCGGGGAACTCCTCCCTTGGCAATGTGTTCCAGAGCCTCGCTGTTCGTTGGATGAACGAGTCTTTGGAAAGAGATGTTCTGCAGGTCTCCAAAGTGACCACGAAGGGGTGCGAAGCCTCAACTCGACGGGTTAATCTCGCGAGGACCGCCAAAGGGAGGAACAATTGTTGATATTTCAGCATCGTCAATGGAAATTTCTTTAAAATAGAGCCAGATCGCCAACTTTTCTACGGTGTTCCAGAGAAGTGAGTGAATTGGTGAGCGAGACATCACCCACGAGCTGAATTGCCCTTTTTTGGACAGAATCCAACAGTTTCAGGGTATGTTCGATTGCTGCACTCCAAATATGGGAACAGTATTCTAGGGCAGGTCAGATCAGTGCCTTATAGATCATAAGCAGCGGACCGGAAGTGAAATAGCTCCTGGCCCGAAACAGAAAACCAAGTTTTTGGGATGCAGTTTTACCAATTGATCTCACGTGATTTTCCCTAGAAAGGTTATTGCTGATAGTGATACCAAGCATCAAAATGGATGTCTCCAAAGGAATGGTTACTCTTGACAAGCTTATGTTGGGCACAGTGAGATCGGCTTTTTTTAGAGAAACGGCATGCTTGTGTTTTGTTTGCATTGAAATCTACCAAGTTATTGAATCCCCATTCGAGAATTGTTGCCAAGTCCATATTTATGTTGTCAACATTTCTTCCTCGTTCGTTTCTGATTCGCCTGGCTGGTATTGGAGCTCTGGAAGAGAAGGCGGTATGGAGGGTACTATCATCCGCGAAACTGTGTACTGGACATGAAGTTGCTTCCAACAAAACGTTTATATGGAGTAGAAATAGTGTTGGTGCTAGAACTGATCCTTGCGGAATACCAGCATTTATGATAAGAGAGTCAGATGAAACTCAGTCGACAACTACATGGAGAGACCTGTTCGAGAGAAGCTAGCAGAGAACAAAGCTGGAGAGGCAGCCCATAAGATGGAAGCTTGGCGAGAAGTCCGTGGTGCCAGACTCGATCGAATGCCTTGGAGGTATCAAGTGCCACGGCTAAAGTTTCACCATATTTTTCAATAGATTGCTGCCATATATGTGAGACGTAAGCGAGCAGATCACCAGTTGATCTCTGATCACGGAAGCCATATTACCTATCGTTGATAATACCAGAATGTTACAGGTACTTCATGAGCTCGATGTTGATAGCTTTCTCCATGATCTTTGAAATAATAGATAGCAGTGCGATCGGTCTGTAGTTGCTAGGTAGGGTCTTTTTGCCTTTTTTAGGAACTGGATGTACTCTTGCAATTTTCCAGTTGGATGTATATCTAAATTATCTAAAGTTTTAGCCCCCTCGGTGGGCTCGTACCAAATTTGTGGTTTTTTCATATCACTTGGAGCGCACGAAAGGGGATCCCAATAATGTTCGAAGAACACCTAGAAAGGGTAGGGAGAGAAGGTATAGTTATTGGATAAGGAAAGTGCATTTATTGGATAGTGACTAATCATGTCTACATACCTTGAGATACTCCACAGTATCTGAGACAATCATCAGCAGTTTCAAAGTTATTTCTGTTACCATCACATCCTCCATAAACGAACTGCTTACAAACCCCATCGGCACTATCATAGAAATATCTTGGGAAAGCTGCTCTACACTTTCCAGTTTCGCTTGGCAAAAAGCACATTTCTAAAGGAGAAATTTGAAAATAACACTGAATTCATAATGATTTGAACTGTTTTTCATTTACCAATTCTAAATGCTTCCACCTGTGGGGGTGGTGTGATCGGTTGTGGTTCGAGTGGTTGTCCGTTTTCGCATCTCTCTTCGCATTTCTGTCGAGATTCGAAGTTGTTACCGTTACCACCACATCCTCCATAGTAGAATTGACGACAAGCTTTATCTCTAGTGTCATAGTACCATCTGTCGACGTAGTTGGCACATTCACCAGTCTCAGCAGGGAGTTGACAAGTGTCTTTTGCTGAATATCCAGAACAAATTAATCACAGATGGATCTTCCAGACGAAACCAGCATTACGAAGACGCCAAATGAATGATGAATGAAAACGCCATCTAGTGGCCAAAATTAGAGGTGTAATGCCAAACATTACAGTCCAAATCTACCATTTGGCGTCTTCATAGTGGGTGATAAGACCGAAGCGTTGAGTTGTCCCAATTGTCAGCACACCAAGAGCGGCTGGATGAGGCCTAGTGGACCAAAACTTTATTGTTTTTCTGTTGCTGGATTTACACTGTGTTGTCACAGGCCTCAAAAAACTCTTTTTACCATTCAAATGTGTTTTTGTTGCTAATTACGACACATATTGCGCTGATCAAAATTGTTGAAAATTACGGTCTGATTGGAACACAAACATTCGATAAATATCCGGGAATCACTCGACAACTGCGCTCTGTAGCCACGTTTCACATTGAATCTTCATGGGTTCCAATTAGTAAAGCTTGTATCTTATTTACTCGTTCACATTTATTATTCTGTTGAAGACAAAAGCAATTGAGAATCATTCCATTAGGGCCTCGAGCAAACAATGAGCTTCCCAGTGAATTCAAATCTATAAACTCCACACCTTTATTAAAAAAAGGTCAAAAACTGGATACTTTCAAAAAGCAGGTCGTTCATTCATCAACTCATTAACATAAAAATAGACCTTTTTAATATAAACTACTCAACACTAATTTCGTCGCACACCAAAATGTCGCCCCTGTTATAATGTGAATAACTTTTTTCAGTTTAGAACAATTTGAATTTGGTTCACACTGTTCGATAGCCCAGTCCTTCAGCTATAATCTCGTACTTCATTGTAACATGAGGGTATTCACATAAAATCTCTACGTGGTGTTTTTCGACAATGTGCAAAATTTCGGAATATTCAAAAGGCTCTCAAATGGTGATAAAAATGTTTTTCTCAACTTCGACAACAGAGGCATGAAGATGATCTCATTATCTCGAGATATTTCGCGAATCAATTTCCTATCTCTCTTATTCACAGAGTGATCTCAAAAAATCAACTTTTTGGTTTTGCAGCCATAACTTTTTTTTACGTCAACCGATTTTGGAAATCTTAGGCTCATTTTGAAGATAAAACTTCAGATGAAGAGATCTGAATATCAGAATTGACTCAAGATGACTATCAAAGATCAAGAGTTTTCTTGAAAGTGACCCAAATCTGGAACGCCCTCCGAATCTCGGTTAGGAGGAGAATTGAATGAAAATCAACTTGTTCTCGGAAAAACAATTCATTCTGGATGCGTCCATATTTTCCTCGCTCTCAGTACTCAAGAATGTGCGTGAGAAAACACAATTGAAACATGTTCTTTCAAAAACATCAGACCATTTCTCCTCTGTAATGCATGTCCCGTAACCAACGTTACAAGAATCACAGTAAGTGACTGACAAGTCAGGTTAGACGTCGTTTACAGATTTTGATAGTTTCGATGCCGCATCTAACGACCGAATTGGCAAACTGTTTTCGTGAAACTTTCACCATTTTTGAAATGCGTTTTCACAATAAATAAACGTTGTTTGCTTGAATACTTCTCCATATTCTTAAATCGCATGTTATGTACGTGACAACTGTTAAAAAAATCACTTTATTGAAAAAATCAAAATCCGTTGCTCTTGTTGGTACACCATTTATGATGAGTCTCAGCTGGTCGGGTTTGTCAGTCACTCATTGTGATTCTTGTAACGTTGGTAACGGCGGGCCATGCATTACAGAGTAGAAATGATCTAATGTTTTTGCAAGAACATGTTTCAATTGTGTTTTCTCACGCACAATTCTTGACTACTGAGAGCGAGAAAAATATGGACGCATCCAGAATGAATTGTTTTTCCGAGAACAAGTTGATTTTCATTCAATTCTCCTCCCAACCAAAATTCGAAGGGCGTTCCAGATTTGGGTCACTTTCAAGAAAACTCTAGATCTTTGATAGTCATCTTGAGTCAATTCTGATATTCAGATCTCTTCATCTGAAGTTTTATCTTTAAAATGAGCCTAAGATTTCCAAAATCGGTTGACGTAAAAAAAAGTTATGGCTGCAAAACCAAAAAGTTGATTTTTTGAGATCACCCTGTAAATAAGAGAGATAGGAAGTTGATTCGCGAAATATCTCGAGGTAATGAGATCATCTTCATGCCTCTGTTGTCGAAGTTGAGAAAAACATTTTTTTCACCATTTGAGAGCCTTTTGAATATTCCGAAATTTCGCACAGTGTCGGAAAACACCTTGTAGAGATTTTATGTGAATACTCTTATGTTTCAATGAAGTACGAGATTATAGCTGAAGGACTGGGCTATCGAACAGTGTGAACCAAATTCAAATTGTTCTAAACTGAAAAAAGTTATTCACATTATAACAGAAGCGACATTTTGGTGTGCGACGAAATTAGTGTTGAGTAGTTTACAAACATAGTATTTCGCTACCCACTATATAGCTTCCATACTAATAATCATTAACCCACATTATATAATTTCGTAGCCCAGAAGATCAACTTATTGTCGTTACTGAGATAGGTAATGGATACAAATACTGTCACACTTAACTCACTATTAGATCCCATAATCTTAATTCTACACCGTTTTCTTGTTTTGATATTATTTGTTTTGTTTTTATACTCTCACCTAATTTTGAGACACTAATGTAGGTAGTTTTCATAAGAATAATTGACAAGACATTATACGACTTCGCTATTGAAATAATCTCTTCTCATGTTGAAAACGGGAGCAGAACCGGTCCCGAAACGTCCAAAGATAAGTGAAAATTTGATATTTTTTCTATATACCTTTATTTCCCTTCTCCAAAAATTTTCTCAATACAAATTGTCACTGACAAGCTAGTGAATTTTTCTTTCAGGCTCTCTGATAGGAAAATTCTTTAAACGCAGTGACATTTTGGGGCAAATCATCTGATTTGTCCTTACTACACGTATATTGAAATAATATTCATATTTTTATTTTATAGAAACGAGGAGAGAAAATCCCAAAAAATTTGAAATAATGAACAATATGATTATTAATTATATCAAACTGTAGATCATCTTCTCGATAATTGTTGTTTTTAGCTGATAATATTGCTCATCTTACTGAATTATTATTATTATTCCACTCATATAAAAAGAAACCAATTAATCATGATTCATGTACATGTACTTTGACATCTGGCAACTACGTTTTCAATAGTGGTTTTGAGACCTCAAGACCATTCAGAAAAATAATCAAATTGAAATATATTATAGAAATGAAAAAAAAAACGATCCACTTGCCTATTGGATATTGGAAATATATAGAAATGAAAAAAAAAACGGTCCACTAGCCTATTGGATATTGGGGCAACCCTTTCAAAATCAACTTTACTATGCTTCAAAACTAGCAAACGGAGTCAATACACCAACATACAATATATTACTTCATTCCATTAGAACAACAGAGTTTAGTTCAAGAAAAGTTCAACATCAAACTCACCAATTGCTTTTGGACATAAACTTTCACATGCTTCTCTACTCTCGAAGTTATTTTGGTTACCGTTACAGCCAGAGAAATAGAATGGTTTACAACGATTCTCGGGAGTGTCAAAGTACCAGTTGGCTTGTCGTTCTGTGCAATTACCTTGGGCCATTGGTAACGAGCATTGATCTAATTCATACACAGGCTGTTAGTCAAGTAAAATATACCATAACATGGGGATGCAGTAATGAGAGAACGTGAGTTTAGATGAACAGGCATAATTTTCCAGTTGAAACAAATTGATCCCAGAAATATCAGATACATGTAACATTTATAATTCATATTGTGATGTCAAATAAGTCTCGGAATTAGAATTGAATAATTTCTTTTTCATCATCACAATTGATTCACTTTGTTTCATCTGAATGAGATGATTATTGCGAATTTTTCGTCAAATAAACGATCCCTTGGCAATATTGATCATAATTCCTTTGGAAATGGTTAGACATTCCATGCTTTGTGTTGGCAGCAGTTACAGTCGACGGATAATAGTTATTTGTTTAACTAGGCAGCAAAGTAGTAGATTGACTGCCGAGGCTGCATTCATAGCCGAGCGGAGCGAGGCTAGGAATCCAGCTAAGGCAGTCAATCTACTTTGCTGCCGAGTTGAACATATAATTTTTTCTCCGATTGTTAATAATGATATAATAATATATCTCTTTATTTTTCCTGTAGTGTTCAATTAAAATAAAATTTGATAGAAATCGCAGTTGTTGGAATGGTTGGTTGCTATGGAAATGTCCATAATAATTATAGTTTGACAATTCATGAAATTTCTGACAGTTGTGCGAAAAAATATTGGTATATTTAAATTATTATATAATGGAAAGTGATAGCGACCTGGAAGTACTTACACCTCCAGAAATGAGGGAGGTGGCATAAAATATAGAGTTGAATTTGTTGCCGGAGAAGTCTCGAATGAAATATGAAGGAAATTATAAACGATTTATGGATTATTAATTTTGCTGATACATATCAATCAGCAAAGTAACCACAAAGTGGGTACTTTGCTGCCTAGGCAGGAAAAGTAATACTTTGCTGATTGATATGTGTCAGCAAAATTAATATTTGCTGCAAATCGGAGAAAAACACATTTTATGTACATGCCCTGCAGAGGCCAGAATCAGATTTTTAACATTTGGCAACAGTATAGGGCCAGAAAACCTGATAAATTGTTTTCCCAATGTACTCCTTAATTTCGCCAAGATATTAATAGATATACTGGGAGAAAATATAACCATAGGGTGAGCCATAATCGGCCATTGGCCTAACATGGGCCCACTCACGTTTAACCTTAACCTTAACCTTACAGTCAAATTGGGTGTCAATTATTGTAGAATGCATTCCTTTTCTCAATGTCAATTATCATTATTTTGAAAAAGAAAGGGTCTTATTTCCAATGCTCACTGGTACTGGTACTGGTAGGGGACATTTGCACGTCAGCAACTAGTCCCTAGTGGGACTTTTTTGCAAGCCCCAAGGTATTTTTAATGAGTGATGTGATTCGCTAAAGAGAGCTGGCTAAAACCCTTTTCAGCTATCTTTCAGAGTTTTTGCGGCTGTGTTTTGTAGACTAGTAATGTACTCACTACCATATGCTGCAGTGGCAGGCCTGCCAGCTACCTCATTAACTCCCGTTAGCGGAGGTCCACTAAGCAGCATTGGCTTGCTCTCACGCAACTAGTAGTTTTTCCACACCCACCTACATACACCGTCCTGCTTCTTCTCTGATGCTCACAACCACATCATCATCTCTTTCTGCGTGTTCTGTGTAGGCTTTGTTACTAACTCCATGTTAATAAGAACGCTACAGCGAATCGTGCAGGACTATCCCCAGCCGATGCTCCGAAACTACAATATTCAATTCGTAAATGAAATATTGAAAAAAGTTCCGTGCCCTGGCTGGGAATCGAACCCACGACCTCGCGGTCGTGAGACGAGCGCTCTTTCACTGCGCCAATCCCGGCTCCTTTCCAATAATGATCAACAATTCAACAGTTCTTGATCTGATCGAAATACAATAATTCTGACAGTTGCACCAGTTTTATCCACAGTTGACTGTTGAGTTTGGCCAACCCCACAAAACAAATGTCTAACCCTTGAGAACTTGGCCAATTCACAGACATGAATACAACATATACCAGGGATCTTTATGCTTCCTGAGATGGTATTTAAACATTAAAATATTATTAGAAGATCACATGCTAGGAAAACTATATCGGTAATAAAACATTAGGTAGGTATAACTGTCTGTTAGATCTCATGCTAGAAAAGTAATGATTGTGCAATACATTAGGTAGGTACCTATGAAATCATACCTTTCTTTTCACCAGGTGTAGCACATTGTTGCCTGCAAGCCTCAATAGTAGGGAAGTTGTTTTTATTCCCTTTGCAACCCCCATACACGAAAGGTTGACATTGACCAGTCTCTTCATCATACCAATACCTTTGGTACTGTCCATTGCATGGACCTGCTTCTTGTTTTTGTTCACAAGGATCTGAAAGTGCAAAAATCATTAACCCGTTACAAGTCAATTCCAATAATCTTACCTGGGCTGCTATCGGTAACACATTGGTTGAGGCACTCCTCCCTGCTTTCGAATTTATTATTATTACCAAGACATCCCCCATACACGAACTGAGCACAGTTCTTCAAGTCTTTATCATAGTACCAAACAGGGTAATAGCCTTCGCATGGACCAGCCACTTTAGGCAAATTGCACCTATCTGAAATTCACTTCTATAACTATTGGAGTCTCATGAGTTGATAAGCGATCTCACCTGTTCCTTCAGGCTTAACACAAACTGATTCGCATTCTTCTTTAGACTTGTAACGGTTCTCGTTACCATCACAACCTCCATACCAGAATCTTGAACAGCCACCATAGTCCATATCAAAGAACCATTTAACCGTGTAGTTCCTGCATGTTCCCCTTTCCTTTGGAATAGAACACCCGACCTGTAGATTTCGAGGAGCAGTTTCACAACCCTCATAGTTTTCTCCCTTTGCTTCCGTAAGCCCATCAATACAACAGCCGTATTTGCTGTTTTCACAACCACAACCTTCCATATTCGGTCCAGAAGCTGGAGTTTGTTCATCAGAGCAGCAACCGAATTCAGTGTTTCTACATCCACAACCTACAAATAATATAGTCAGCGATATATTTAGTATGAATAGTTATGCAGATACTTGCCATATACCTTATGTAAGCTATTGAATGAGTTCGTTGACATTAATAGCAGTTTGACTGACTACTATTCTTACTATGAAATACACAACTCAATGACTCACCTTGCTGGTGAGGTCCTCTGGCAGTTGTTATTCCATCTGGACAACATCCAAATTGGAATGTATGGCACAAGCATCCCTGGAACTCTGCTCCACTGGCAGGCGTCAAAGCATCAGGACAACAACCGAATTCGCTAGACTGGCAGCCGCAACCCTCATTATCGTAACCTCTTGCAGCAGTTGTATTGTCTGAGCAGCACCCATAAGGAGAATATTGGCAGTCGCAGCCTTCCATATTAGGTCCCCTTGCCGCAACGATATCATCAGGACAACAACCAAACGGCGTTGCCAAGCAACATCCTTCTCCGCTTGGTCCATGAGCTGGAGTTCTTGCATCCTGGCAACATCCAAATGTGCTATTAGAGCATGGAAGATTGCAGCCTCTGTATCCAGGGCCTGCGGCAGCAGTCGTTCCATCAGGGCAACACCTGTAGGTCATGTTCCTGCAGTCCTCAGTTATAGCTTCTGTAGTTGTTTCCATGATAGTTGAGTCAGTTGAGCTTGATTCTTCAGTTGCATCACTGTACTCCGTGGTTAATTCTGTCGTGGACATGATTTCTTCTGTTGTCGTTATTTCGGTTTCTTTACATCCTTCGTGGTCAGGACCAGTGGCTTCAGTAACATTATCATCACAACAACCGTATTCGGAGCTGAGGCAAATTGGAGGACAACCTTCATTGTCATTACCTTCTGCAGGAGTTCTTTCATCGGGGCAACATCCAAAGAGCGTTTCGTTGCAGTGCAGACTGGGGCAACCAGCAAATTTGGGCCCAAGTGCTGCCGATACCTCATCTTTGCAACAACCGTATTTTGACATCTTGCACGTATGGGGAGTTGGACATCCTTTGTCGAATGGACCCTTTGCAGGTGTGATGTTATCCCAGCAACAACCATATTTCGTTTTACTACAAGTCCTGAGCTTCCTTCTCTTACACATGCGTGGTTTTTTGGTGAAGATATCGATGATTCTAGATTTGCCATAATCATCTGTGATCGCCATTTCTTCTGTGGTGCTACTGAATATGTCACTAACTGTGGTACCGGTATATTCTGTAGTTGATTCAGTACTTCCTGTATATTCTGTTGTCATTTCAGTAGATTCAGTGCTACCACTGAATTCCGTTGTACTTTCAGTAGATTCAGTGCTACCCGTGAATTCTGTTGTACTTTCAGTAGATCGTTCACTCGTTGAACTCATCTCTGAGGTGCTGGAGCTCATTTCGGAACCTGTGAATTCTGTAGTTAATTCGGTACTACCTGTTAACTCCGTGGTCGATTCGGTACTACCTGTGAATTCCGTAGTTGATTCGGTGCTACCTGTGAATTCCGTAGTTGATTCGGTACTACCTGTATATTCCGTCGTTAATTCTGTACTACCACTGACTGGACTAGTACTAGAACCCTCTGATTCAGTACTGCCAAGAGTTGTACTTTCGCTGGACTCGGCTGTCTCTATAGTGCTATTATTTACTTCTGTTGAACCTGTGGATTCTGTGGTACTTCCACTTTGTTCTGTCGATTCAGTACTTTCAGACACAAGTGTGGATGGTTTCACTGTAGTCGTCTTGACAACATTTTCTGGTTCACCAATGAAGAATATGGTAGTACTCTCTCCAGTTACCCCTGTCTGTGTTGAAGTAGGGGTACCTGTGTATTCACTTTCAGTTGTACCAGGACTATCGGAACCAGTTTGATCCGAAACAGATTTTGTTGATCCCATTTCCGTACTACCTGTGAATTCCGTGGTTGATTCGGTACTACCTGTGAATTCCGTGGTCGATTCGGTACTACCTGTGAATTCCGTGGTTGATTCGGTACTACCTGTGAATTCCGTGGTTGAATCGGTACTACCTGTATATTCCCTCGTTGGTTCTGTACTACCTCCTGAGGAATCTGCAGAACTTCCACTGACTGGACTAGTGATTTCAGTGATCTCGAATGAGACAGTAGAACCGCCTGAATCAGAACTGCCAAGAGTTGTACTCTCACTAGACTCGACTGTCTCTATAGTGCTATTATCTACGTCAGTTGAACCTGTGAATTCTGTGGTACTTCCACTTTGTTCTGTCGATTCAGTACTTCCAGAAGCAAGTGCGGATGTGCTAGAACCATCGGAACCAGTTTGATCCGAAACAGATTCAGTAGATCCTGAAATATTTGAGTCTGATACTGTTGGCTCAGTGTTGGCCTCTGATCCGGAGCTCACTGATGTAGTCACTTCAGAGGCTGAACTAGGGCCAGATATTGTCGTCATGCCAGATGCCCCACTCTCTGTGGTTAGCCCAGTTTCTGATGTGTCACCAGTAACAGTAGTTTCACCAGTTTCGGTGGTAAACTCTGTTGTAGACTCGGAAGCTACACTAGACTCAGAGCTCCAGCTCGATGAGTAAGTGGATTCAGTTCCTGATCCTTCAAAATCAGTAGTTGTCTCTCCTGAACCGAATTCATCTTCTTCGATGAAAACGATAACACCGTCCCCCATCATCATGTCATCCGAAGAGAAGAGTGTCTCTCTTTTCTTGCTAATGTGTTCCTGGGCCTGATCTTTTTGTGGTTGTCCAGTTTCGTCGGTTTCGACCCATTCTCCATCATCACAATTTGTGTCGGGTACTATCTCGTATTCTTCGTCTTCATCCGTTGATGGCGGGCTTGTTAGCTCTACAACACTTGTCGAATCTGTTGAATCTGTTGATTCCGTAATGACAGAAACATCGGTGGAACTTCCATCTGCTGTCGGTTCTGATTCGTCCACTGGGTGAGTAACGTCAGTTGGCATTATAGTATCTATAAACTAACGATAATAAATAATTGTGCATGAGAATGTTTAATACTGGTACCTTCTGAACAAGGATGGTTGTTACATTCCTCTTGTGAAAACACGATTGTTTCAGAACCACATAGGTCCGGGCTTACTACTTGGAAATCTTTGATGCAAACGACTTTTTTGGTACGTTCTCCTCCCCCACAGGATTTGGAACACTAGAAAACAAACGAATTCTTGCATCATGGAATAACGAGTGTTGGGAAATTACCTCTCCCCAAGGGCCGCTGAACCATTCGCCTTCACAACTTTCTTCTTCTCCAGTGCAGTTTTTGATGGTTTCAAAGTGCTTTGAAGGGTCACATTGGGCGTCCTCAACTTTGAGGACACCATCAACGGTGGACACGCCACAAAATATAGTTCTAGTTTGAACACCGGCGCCACAGGTTACTGAACACTAAAATGGAAAGTTCGATTCGTGAATGAGAAGGCATGGGTGAATCGTTGATGATTTTAGTCACCTCGCTCCATTGAGATGCGTACCACAAATATTGGCAGGTAGCATTGGTTGATTCGCACTTTCGGATTGTCTCTGGTCTCTGGTTTGCTTCACACAGTTCGTCATCTTGGAATTCTCCTTTCTCAGTGGCACAGTGGACTTTTCTTGTTTCGTTCTTCAATCCGCAAATCCTATCACACTGAAAAATAAAATGTTTGTACGCACCCTAGGAAGATTAATTTGTAATAATTATCTCACCCCACTCCATTCGGATGTTATCCAATCAACACCTTCGCAAGGTCTGATTCTACATTTCTTGCTGACTTCTGGTTTTGGTTCGATTGCTTCACATTCTGAATCTTCCAGGACCTCGATTTTGTTATCTTTCTTGATGAAACATTGAACCTTTCTTGTTTGCTCACCATCTCCACATAGGTGATCACACTGAAAGTATTTCCAAACGAATGAGTATGAGTGACAAAATTATACTTTCTTACGGAATTATTAGAGAGATATTACTTGTTCAGCATGATTCAATCTATATAATACTAGATTTTCACAACATTTCACCGTAGACAAGATTTCAATGTAAATGATGCGGGGTCCTTTATTTCAATTGTCAAATTAATTGAGAAAAGACTACTGGTACTAACTACCAAAATTTTTTGAGTGTATTATCAAAGATCCCCAGATATTGATGCTGATACTCAACTGATAATGGAGACCTTTAGAGAATGCGAATTCTCAATATATTTCTTTATACCGGGTGTTTCTCAAAAGTGACTCACCCCTATAACTTTTTTGTTTCTACAGATAACCAAATGAAATTCACCGTGTAAGTATAGTTCATAAATATGCATTGATAGGCGTATTCAATTGTTTTCCTTTTCCAAATGGGACACCCGGTATACTTTTACTCATTTCGATAAAGAATTACATTGTGAGTACGATGACATCTGATTTGCCACTTTTTGACATTTATCATTCTGAAATTTTCATTTCTCAATTTTCCACCTAGAGTGAATATGATACTAGATATTGATTCAAAATATCAAATTATGTGATATCAACGTATTTGAAAAAATTGAGTTAACATCATAATTATTACGATATTTAGAAATTTCAATCGACCTGTGAAACAAATGAAAAGTAAAATTCCATCGAAAATATGTTTCTTTGGCAACTTGGTTCCAAATCAATTGTTTTAACTCATTCATGGCACTCTAGATTGAAAATTGAGAATACAAAATAGTCACAATGATATTCTCTATCGAAATAAGTAAAAATATGCACAGTGTTTCATTCAAAAATAAGAAAATGAGGGCCATTTCCGGTCAAACCGGAAGTGACAGAAACAATTGAATAAGTGAAATAATGCATATTTATGTACTATACTCAGACAGCGAATTTCATGTGTTCATCTGTGGGCCAAAAAAGTTGAAAGGGTGAGCCACTTTTGAGAAACGCCCGGTATATATATCCATTTTTTTATGTTCATAATTATATCTGAGAATATTCCTTTTCAATACTTTCACCCAATCAAGGGGTTCAAACTTGAACGATGGAAACTTTTATTTTTATAGATCTCAATCGCAGGTTCGTGATTTGGTTTTCTTGATTCAGAAATTTTTTCCCCTTGCTGTCTGATGAGTATCAATTTATCATACATAAAAAAAAGAAAACAAACGTCTTGACTCAACAATCATTAATTTCATCGTCTTCCCCCTTAGTTCTTCATAATATGATTTATGGTGGTACTCACCGGCTTCCAAGGCCCCGAGAACCACGTGGCGCACACTCTGCCCACGTTGCACCGCTGTTGCGTCGGCGGCTTGACAGCGCCGCTAGCAACGCACTCGCTGTCCTCCGCCAGCGTCGGCAGCCCGTTGGACACGATCTGCTGACACGTGACGTCGCGCGACTGCAAACCGCCGTCGCCGCACGGCGCCGAGCATTCTTTCCAGGGGTGCGGCACCCACTGCGCGGCGCACGCGATCTCGTTGCAGCGGCGCTTGGCTTCAGGTTCCGTGTTGGAGTCGCAGAGAGAGCGATCGACGGGATCTAAGGAGGCGCGGCCGGCGCAGGTCACGTTGCGGAATTGATAACCTTAAAAACTCAAAGTTGTTCGACCAAAAATAACCAGTGGTGAGAAGGGGCTACTAATAGTGTTCGCAATACTGTGCAAGGAAATTTCGGCAGAAGTGGACGTAGACCAATTTCCATATGCTCGGATAGCGAAGCTGCTATTATGGCAACCAGATGACGAATGATCACGTCACTGTGACGTCCCTCATTGGTGATTTTTCGTCAGAGACGTCACACACCAATTTATGACGTCACTATGACGTACTTTCTATGACGTGATAATCACGTCATCGTTTCGACGTCGAGTGAACGTCACTTAGAAGGGTAAAAGAAAACGTCAGTTTCATGACGTTGCAGGGACGTCCTGTCGACGTCCATTTTTCCCAGACCTTCTCTAAACCATGGATACTTATATATTATCATATGAAACAGAAGTATAACTCACGAAAGCAAATCAACATGCAAGTTTTATTGGCATTATTAATATACTCGAGTAGGAGATAACTTTTTTCTAAAAAACTTTGACACACTGTATATCTCGGAAACCACCAAGCTATGTATATATATACAAATGATTGTTTAGATATACCTATATTCGAACCGTTACTCTTATGACGTTGATGTGACGTATCTATGACGTCTAAAAATCACGTCGGTGTGACGTACCAATTTGGTGATTCAGAAAATTTTTCAATAATTTGCTATTCAGCAGATTTTTGTTGGGTGACAAAGAATGCATCAATATACATTATTCAACAAAGTGAAGCCAAATTCGCCAACATCCTTTCCATTGCTATCAAACTATTCTTTGTTTGCTTACATCTCGCCGACACAAACTACATAATTTTTTATACAAATACGAGTGACTGATTGCATTCTGATGGAGATGCGTATACTGAAGAATAGCGCTGCTGAATAGGCGATTGAATGAACATGACACAGGAGGGACCCTGTTAAAGGAATCTTTTTTACATATCATCGCCAAATTTAATCGTCATTTTGACGTCATTATGACGTCAATCAGACGTCACAGTTTGGTGAGTGAATAATGTCAATACGACGTGAGTAATATGACGTCATTGGGCTGTGACTTATTCACGTCATTATCACGTCATGTGACGTCAACTACTGACGTCACCTTGGTCATTCAAGTGACGTAAAAAAGACGTCACTGGAACGTCATCTGGTTGCCTGGGATATTATGGCATTGAGATCCAATAGAATCACAACTAAATTGGTGTCCGACTGTAGAAGTGCCTTGGAAAATATGGCAAGACTAGGAAAGTCAGCCTCAGGACACTCGAGTATCTCTGGGAACGAGGAGGCAGACAGACTAGCTAAGATCGGTTCAGGAACGACACCCATTGGACCAGAATCGATATCGAATACCCACAAGCATGGCTATGTCCTGTATGAAGGAAATTCTACATTCACAGTTTCTTGAAACATAGCGGAACACACCAGGCATGAGCTCCATATAAAGGAACCTTCAAATAAACTCACGAGAGAGGTCCTGTCACTCAACAGAAACAGAAGAGATCTCAAGATGGTAGTTGGGCACCTAACTGGACACAACCACCCCAAGAGGCACCTGGAGCTCATAGGGATAAAAGATGGTCCCATCTGCAGATGGTGCTCAAAAAATTATGAAACATAATCGCACATACTTACTGAATGCCCCGCGCTGGTGCATCAGAGGAAAGATTCCTTTGGGAGCATTGTATTGCACTCATATAGTATGTGTAAGTGATTCAGCTGAGGAAGATGCTTGAATTTTTCAAAGAAATGCCCAGCTGATTCATAGGCCATGTGGGAGCACAATGGGCCCGACTGAAGATGCCTGAGTGCGAGGAAATAGGCACCCGCCCACCCGTGCAGGGAAGAATAAGATAAGAAGATAGGGACTACTAGTAACAATGTGTGTAGTGAATTGTACCAATCGTACCTGTATTCTCCAATTTTCACTTTCAAATTCAAGCAGCATATGCTGCATGGAGCACACCAAAGTGAATGAATGACGTCGGGAGTTTTCATCAAATATTTCGTCGATATAGTTAAGTGGTACTCCAAAACTACACAGTGTGTCGATTGGAATATTTGATCACCTAGAGGAAATTTGAAGTCAAGTAAAAAGATGTCAACTTCATTGTTAAGGGGGAAATTTTGTGTGCTGGTTCAACTGATTTACTTCAACCTTGAAGAAGGGATGAAAAGAACCACTGAAATGTTAAATTGGATGGCCGTTCAACTATCTTTCCAACTTCTACTTGACCTTTCTTTTTGGTAACAATAAGAATAAGCATGCTTAATTGAAAATTGATATTCTTCGCCTAGTAATCTCTTATAAGTAGTTACGATTTACTAGCTTGTGGAAGAAATGTGAAACAAATACTCAGAATAGAGACTAATATGTGAATTCTGATTTTATTTCGCCAGATTTCGAAATTATTTTGTAATTGTGAGCTGTTTGTGTATTCAGCAAATAAACTCATTGTATAAACGAAATAATTCTAGAAATGTTCGCTCAAAAATTGTTCTTTCTGATGAATTGACATTGTTTTTTCACCAACATTTTATTTTCTAGCTACGAAATAATGTGGGAAATAAAAAATAACCCGCTCAGAATTGGTAAACACATGCAGTCTAGATATATGCAGGATCCTAGGAATAGATGAATAACAACTGAATGTATTGTTGAAATCTCAAAATAGGTGGAATCTATGAATTGTTGTTTTCCAAAGTTTGTTTTTTTATAGTTTTCATTTGGGAGCTTCAGAATGGATGAACTTCTTCGAAGCAGCAGCAATATCTTCACTATAATAAAAATAATAATAATAATAATATAGTGAATGATAATCCAAGGGCCAGGTCGATTCATAAACATTGAACCTTTGAACGATTCTTAAATTTTGAAAACGTATCCACAAAACGGAACTGTGCCGAAATAAAGTATTGAGTATTTATTATCAATCAATCTCAATTGTGTACTTTACTTACTCAGCTAACGCCTCCTGTTGCCAGCATTATGGAAATAAATCTTATGAGACAATGTTTATCTAAATGAATCGTGATTTCCTCACAAAAGCTTATACAAAACAATGTTCAACTCACCTCCACCACATGTAGCTGAACAAGGTGTGAACTCGTCATAAGTCCATGCATACGTTTCTTCACTTGGTGGTGGTATATTCGTCGGTAAACTGTACGAGTAACTGATTGGCACTTCCGAGTCTTGATACAAGAGCTAAAATGACCATATCAAACACCGTATATCCACCAAAGATACCTTATATCCTCTTGTACTCACCACCATGAACAAGGATTCTTCTGTTGGTCCCAAGCAAGTGACCACATCTGGAGCGGCAAACTCTTGGGGGTTTCTTTCGTATTTGAACCTGCAGCCTGCAAAATCTAGTGACCTAGGGAAATCGATCCTCCAGTTACCGTTCAGATAGTAGTAGCCGGTTTTATTACGGACAGCTAAAAAAAAATTCAAAAGTTTCTAAACAATAATAAGGCGCTGAAGAATTCGATTAAGTATTATGACAATGCATCAACTGACTATATATGTAGTCAATCACTAAAGGTTCCTAATTATTTTGAAGAAGATCATCTACACTATAAGTCTGAGCCGTTACCACCGATACAACAAGGCCAGCAGACTCTGACGTAAACAGCTCGTGACGTCACCAAGAGAGGCCAGTGTTTTATTTTATCGCTTGTCGACTAACGCGTCAGTTCGTGTTAATTCATCGGTGATTCACGTATGTTTTTGAAACGGTCCCGAATTCTTTTGTTGTTTATTCATCAATATAATTGGCGGACAAATTACTGTTTTGTGAAATATTTTGTGTTGTGATCGGCGAAATAACAATGCCTTTCAAGTGTTGTGTTCCCTTTTGTCGGGGGAATTATGTGGGTGGTTCAAAAGTTCATGCTTTTAGTTTCCCGTTGGACGAGGAGCTATCTAAAATGTGGGTATATGCAATTCACCGCGAGGATTTTACTCCATCTAAGTTCAGTAGTAAAGAGAGCTTAATTTATAATGATAAATTAATAATAGAAGACAATTACTCTCTCAAAAAAAGTATAAGTAGAGGAAAAATAGAAAAGCTTTGATTGTGCAGTTAGTTTTGTATTCGTATATTATAGTCAACAAAATCATCTCTGAATTCGAGGAAATTTTCTTGAATGTTCATAATAAACGGGCATTTTTAATTCTCATTCTCAAATTTCTTTCTGAAAACGGTCATTTGCCTCGTGGCAATGAATGCAGAATTCATTCCAGTGATCAAATTGCAACTATCATATTAACATGAACTACAAACACTCTACTTAAAAAGGTAAAACTGCAACAAATTTCCCTTCTTTTTTCATCATATTGGACAATTTATATATAATTCAACTATAAATATGATTTTCTTGAGATTAATCCATATTTAGTGAAAAGAAGGAAGAATATCATTCAAAATAATGGCGTGTGTAATGTCATTCGAAAGCAATCTATTGATATTTGACATCTCGTATTTTGATTGACTATTGATTAAATGGTCGTCATCTGGAATGCTTGTTCACTAAATATGAAAAACTCGCCATAAAAATCATATTTCCTGTTGAATTTTCTATATAAAAATGTGCCATCGAAGTACATCATGATTATATAAAGTGTCCAATGACAAAATAAGAGCAAGTAGCTTCAAATGCCCCCAACACAAGGGGAGAAAGAAGGCGAAATTTCGAACTTGTTCTTGAAATATCTCAATAAATAGTGGTTTGTTCACATTTTCATTATAAAATTCGGTTTATCAGACAAAAATACGTGAGTACCGAAAAAAAATTTCAAAAAAAAAGCCATCGCATGATAAATGCAGTTTTACCCTTAAAAATTACGGTTTCAAGTGTAACGATCCACTTGGGTGAAAAATCCAACAACAGAAAATTGAAAACACTCACTGGTTATTTTTTCAGGTAATAGGAATTCTCCAAGATAAATAAAGGTAATTGTAACAAACGGCATGTCAATCAAAATAAAATACATTTTCCACAATTTTCTTTCGATCAATCTCACGATATGTTTATGTTCTGCGGGCCCTGTATAAGTAGGTGTGAAGTTTCACCACAATTTTTGCCAATATATTTAATTCGAATGGGTTGCTGTAGGTGGATATTTGTGTTTTATCCTGGTTTTTGCTTTAAAACTTCGTTTTTCCATAATAAAATCGAATGGGGTGCGAAGAAGGGCTCAGTTGACGACTGGCGTCCTTTTTTAACCGGAAGCCCTTCAAAAACCAGCAAAATCGGCTCAATGATGATCTAAAACTAAAATCGAAATACGCGGTCGCCTTATAGCGCTATAAGCGCTTGTCGTTTCGAGCCGCTGGTTAGGCCTCACTAAGTGACGTCACGGAGCATGCAGGCCTTGTTGTATCGGTGGTAACGTCTGAGCGCCCCTGCTTCATATCAATCGAATTCATCAGCTATTATAATACATTTTTACAGAACCTAAAAATATTCCTAACCCATCAGGTAATCTTCTCCATTCACGCAATAATATACCCTCTTCAACTATGTCTTACCGAGATAATTATTCGAAGGAGCCAACTCTTCAACTCGAATATTCGTAGCTCCAGCAGGAATCAGCAATATATCGTTATAACCTGAAAATAATAAGAATGACAATTGAAACATCATCCGATCAGAATATTCAACTTTCAGAAAGAAAATGGCAACAGTGTCCTTACCAACTTGCATGTCTTTCATTTGAATCGTATTGGAAAAAGTGTTACAGCTGGTTCCGTCCCCCCCACATACACGGCACTGATCTTCCCTTGCGTTCGACCCCAACATCCTGTCGCATCCCACTGTCTAAAAAATAGTAGATTGTTTTATTAGGATCAAAAGTGACACTTTGTTTGACAAGCGAATTTTGCATTTGCGAGGCGGAGCGTTTAGCGAAGCCGAGCGAAAGCAAAATTTGCGAGTCGAACAAAGTCACTTTTGATCCGAATGAAACATGCTATTTTTTCTGCAACCGAAACAATTAACTCAAATAAACATGTGAAGTAACCACCAATGCTGTGCCATATGTATGCAATGCAAAAATATTGACAAATAATCCATGTGGTAAGAATATTCTACCTGCATTAACAGCAGGTTAGGTTTTCTAGGATGTTCGAATTGTAGTTTCAATATAAATACAACCACAGAACGACATATTTGTGTATGGACCAGGTGCTCTTATGGCAAATACCGCGCCAGTGCCAGCTATAGGAGCAAGACGTGGAGAATGTTAGGTTAGTGAGCATATCAACAATGATGATAGTGATTATTTATTCCTCTCCATACTACACTGTGTTTGCCTTTATAATCAAATGAAGCTAAACAATATCGTTGTTTGAGACAAAAAAACTATTGCTTGCCGTGATTATTCAGAAACAAGTTATCCATCCCGAGAATAACGAATGAAATACAGATCAAGCAAGTATTTGAATCTTGAAGGCTTCCCTGATCAAAACAAAAATACTTAACTGATATGTTTATAATTCCAATACTAAACTATAATAAGGTGTCTTTATATCTCCAGCATGGGTATGAAATGCCAAATCTGCTGAAATCGGAAACAAATCAGGTATGCGTCTCAACCCAAATAACCAACCGTCACAATGTTGTTTATTCTTGATGACGTCCAGTAGATCCTTTTTAGTTCCTAGGAGCTGAAGTTTAACTTTAGCTCCTAGGAACTAAAATACAATTTTAGCTCCTAGGAACTAAATATGTTGCCTAGCAACATACCTATTTTTGTGTCAGTAATAGAAACGTCAATTTAAGAGCTAATTTTGGTATCAAAATGGACGACTTTTGTGTCGGTTGCAGAAAAAAGTTATTTCTTTAACATCACCATCACTATTAGACCGGAATCCTACAACGTGTTTTTTGTATCTCATTTGTACATACATTTTTTTACACTCAGCATTCGTCTTTTATTCCGTTATTTTGAAAATTCGTTTTTTCTCGCCATTCACATAAAACAGGTCCAATCATCATATGTAGGCGATATCGAGATAATTCGGATAGAAAGTGATAACACCATTTGACTCTATACAACTTCACCGACCACCCTCGTCCCCGATTCTCGACTTCAGTTGAATTCATTCCAACTGGTAAAGCTTCCCATGTTCGTATTCCCGTGGGAATCTTGAAGAATATTCTCGACTACGATAGGAATGCTATTTCCCAGTGGAATTGAAAACACGGTATGTCGGTGATAGTTTATGTGCTCAACCAATCAGATATTGATATTTTCCAGGGACATTCTTGTTTTGATTTACAACGATCCAAAGATTTCAGTTGGTAGTGGTGTATGCATGGTGAAATTTAGGTTGTTTATAAAAAAAATTGCAAAGAAAGAATTAGGAAACATTTTTTTCATAAGGAAGCAATTATTCTCTAATCATGGAAGAGAAAAAAAAAGTGGACATATGTCTGAATGTCTATTTTGTACCTGAATAAATAGTTATTTATTATACAAGGGAAAAAAGTTGTAGATTTTAGCTCCAGGTTGTGTTGTCTCCCGACGCGTAGCGGAGGGAGACAAAAAACCGTGAGCTAAAATCTAATATTTTTCCCGTGTATAATACACTATTTTTTTTTGTGACATAAGAAGGGACGAATCAATATTGAGAAAATGTTACATTATTTTGAAATCTGAAAATTATCGACGTGAAATTTTGAGTTTTTAACAGTAGGGACACCTGCGTTCTATAGACATCTTCATCATTCTTTTGAAGTAATCAAATATTTGATGTCACTTCTGTCAGTCTGATTCTGTGATTTGATTTCAAAAAATTGCGAATAGGAATTCAGTGCTTGTTTAGTAATATACGTAACCGCGAAGTCGAATCGAAGATAAGGACTCGCAGTTCTTTCTCGGAGACGGTATTATTGACTCATTTTTCGCACTATAGCACAACAAAAGCCATCAACAGTGTATACCTATATATGTGATATATATCCGGGAAAAAAGTACTCACTTTTTGCCCACGGGAAAAAAGTAATTCATGAAAAGTGACATTTTATAACCTGTCAACAGAGATGAAAAGCCAAACTTTTTTCCCGTCACAGAAAAATAGTTATTTAATTCTTTTTGAATGTCCTATCAGAACTCTAGTTAGTTTAGTTATTTACTATAAAAAATAAGTCAGATACAAAAATATACCATACATGTAGAAAGCTGCTCATCTATGAATTGGTTCAGTGTGTTTGAAAATCGTATATGATGAGATCTACATTCAAGAACAGGACAAGTATCAATTCATTTATTTCGATAAAAAATTATCAAACAAAGTAATTCCAAATTATTTGACGTTGCGACCTCCTTCCTTCTTGTAAATCAGCATTTTCATGTCTTAATCAACAATGAATCAATTATACAGTTCCATACTTACTTTAATTTTTTTTTGGCAGTGCTGATTCTCTGGTAGGACGTGCTTAAAAATTATGCAAGTTTTGGATGAGATTCAGTGCTAAAGGTTTTGTTAATCTGAATAACTTAAAAAAAAAATTATCTGATAACACATCAAATGGGATCTCCATTTTGCAAATTTGTCCAAAAATCTCTTCCTTGGTTTCCGGCTATTTCTTCAGCCATTTCAACAATGTCTTGTTGAACCAGAAGTATCAGCTCATCATGTTTAGATAGTTTGATAACATACTTTTTATATTATACCTAGTACAATGATAATTCCAACCTCAAACTGGACTAAAAACCCATTGGAATTTGAATTCGTGTGGAGAAACACTAAGTGAATATATACCACTGAAATTCATAGGACCACTTTCCAGCGACAAATGTCGAGAATACTAAATCATAATTCCTATGAGAATTTGATCACTTTTCCCATGGGAAAAACGTCGAAAATCGATCAACGTCCACGATTTTTATTCGGCGAGCTTATATCCATGTAGTGGAAGGTGGAATTAGGAGGGTTCTTATGATGGTGAGTGTGAACAAATGAACAAAAAAACACGTTGGGGGCTCCCGGTCTATATTATGCTTTAGCAAATCGAAGTAGCCCTTCAGTTCCGTGATTTGCTGTACTATTTCGACTTACCTGGCATTTTCCACTGACGCAAACATCGAATTTTTCGTCGTTGCATCTTGTGCCGTCGACGACTGCAGAGGCATGTCTAAAATAAAATCTCTCGCCTTTCGGCATGCAATTGAGTTCACACTCGTTAGGAGCTTTCGTATAAGGCACCCACCTAGAATAAGATTATTATTATCAATTGATGAAACAATTTCAACTCTAAACTCAAATCTGATGAGAATGAATGAATGGATAAAACTAATATCGTCCACCAAATTCGCAAGTCGATCAAGTGAAACAAACCAACAAGGAGAAAATGTAGGATCAAAGTCATCCCCACAATTTTCATTGATGTTGTTTAACAATTATTATTGGGAACATGTTCCATACTTAAAAATGTCCATCTCCAGCCCAATCATAACTTCCAGAATAGAAAGAGCGATTGGTATAAAAAAAATAACCAGTATTTGGAGTTGCCAAAAACGGGTATTTCAAATAGTATTATTCGCTAATATGTTGATAAACCGAATAATGGACTTGATTTTGATTCGGAAGAATTTCACTCAAACTGTTGATGATGTGACTATTTCATTCATTTTCAAATTCTCAGATAATGACTAATCACAAGCCAAAGCCAACTTGTATTATCTCAAAAATACTAGCTGCTGTGTTTCGATTCCGATTTGTCTATCAGCGTTAGTGTTTTCAATGATGTAACCATCTGTTCTGAATATCTTCTCATAATTATGTCTCTCATTGTTAACTCAATTTTGTTGCTTGCCAACATACATTACGTGAACAAAGCGACAAAATTATCTCGAATATTCAGTGCAATAGTTATGTGATAATTTCTTGCCAAATGCTGATTGAACTATAACTTATAGTTTTGGCGGAGATGTTGGTAACTTGCAAATCTGGTGAAGGAACTCGTTCTTGTCCATCATTATTATTATTATGTCATACAATCGCATATAAAGATGGTTATTTGATGAATATCACAATACTTACTGATAGGATACTCCTTCGAAAGGAATATTGTCATAGCTTGCACACTGCTGTGCCCTATAGTCTGCTATGTCTGGACAATCCTGCGAAAATGAAGAGATTTTAACGATACCATATGCCAGTAACATTTTTATCATGATCAGATGAACTCGCAATAAGTAAATTACATTCATAAACCAAATCAAAGATAGTATAAGATTCATCTCTCCAGAATTTCAGTATTAATCCAATATATTATGTATGGTGAGGAAAAATCAAATGATTTGACCCAAAATATCCCTGCTTTTGAAAAATTTGAATATCAGGAAGAGCCTAAAATATGGAGTCATCGATAGTCATGCAGTCATCAATTCCATCAACCTTGAAATAGTGTATTCATAAAAAGCGGGACACCTTCCTTCGAAACAATGTGTCAGTGACTATTGATGGAATCTTTTCCAGGCTATCATATTTTAATTCAATAGAAGTAAGGAGAGAAAACCCAATCAAAAAAATATACATTATGTTATACATACAATTATGAAATGATGATAAGATAAAAGATGATAACAAGTAAAAAAAATGCAAAAAATCATCAACGTCTGTGAAGCAGATATTTTTCAAGTTTTAATTTTGAATTTGGTTGCTTCCTGTATATTCCTCAATTGACTTGGTAATGAGTTGTATAGAACGATTCCTGTGTGAAAAATGGATTGTTTGCCGATATTTGTCTTATACGTATTTGCTATTAGTAAATTGGATTGTCTTGTTCCTTGATTATGTAATGAATTAATTTCATTTAAATTTATATTCGAAATTTTTAATTTATATAGGACAAATTGAATAAAACAACATATTTCAAGTTTGTATAGTGATGTCAGATTTGATGAATCTCTAGGTTTGTATAAATTCATGGTTGGTTCTAGAATATTTAATTTGAAAATACACTTAAATGTTTTATTTTGTAATTTCATTAGTGGACTCAAACGTGGAATATTGGTACTTCCCCATATAGATATTAGGTTTCGAAATTTTGAGTGAATAAGAGAGAAATAAATACTCTTCAAGTGTCTAGTTGAAATGAAATTTCGAATCTTGGATGAAATTCCTGTAATGGAATTGAGTTTGTTCCTCAAATGATCTATATGTTTGTTCCACACTAGTCGTTCATCAATATAAATAAGACCTTAAAATGTTGTAATATCTGTATATTTGATGAGTATATTTTGAAGGATAGTGTTCTATTCGAAATGTTCAGTGTTCTTTTTGCTATGTGAATATATGAGGATTTTTTATAATTTAGATATAGTTTATGAACTTGTCACCAAGTGGATATTTTCTCTAAATCACTTTTCATGTCCATGATAATATTATTCGAATATTTGGAGAAATAAATCAATGTCGTGTCATCTGCGAATGATTCAAGTTTTTCTCTCAATTCCAAGTTTGATATTCAATTTATGTAGATTAAAAATACAACTGGTCCCAAGACTGACCCTTGCGGTACACCGCATGAGATATTCATTAAGGAGCTACAAGTATCACTCACATCAATATATTGTTTTATATTTGATATATAATTTTGGAACCAATCATGAATTCTTCCTCTGACACCAATTGAAAATAATTTATTCAATAAAATGTTATGGTTCAATGTATCAAAAGCTTTGCATAGATCTAATGACAATAAACCGTATTGATCATTTTCATCGATTCATAATTAGATATCTGAAATAACATCCATAACGGCTACTTTATAGTGTCTTTCGATCTACGTAATCCATACTGACCACTGTATAGCAAATTGTTATTTTCCAGGAAATCAAGTAGACGATAGTTCATAATTTTTTCAATAACTTTTGTAGGAACCGGGAGACCAGAGATGGGTCTGTAATTATTCATATCATCTATCCTACCAGTTTTGTATACTAGCAATACTTTCGCAATTTTCATTTTGTCAGGAATAATTCCACTTTCAAAAGAATTTGAAATTATTTTGGTTCCAGGAAAATAAGCATGTTTCTTTCGGATCAAAAGTGACTGACTTGCAAACGCAAATCTCACTTTCAAACAACGTGTCACTTCCGATCCCGATGAAACAATGTATTACTAACCATATGCCATGTCATATAATCAAGTGAGCATCAGACATCAAATGCATCTACATACAAAGAACACGCAGCACCCTATGATTTATTCTAAGACAAAATGCTTTGGTCTCGCTAATGACCATTGGGTCGCTTCGAATAAAGAGGACCATAAAATGGAGATAAATTTCGTATGCATGAGAATCATGGGACGTTTAATGGATGAAAAGAGTGATGGTAAAAAATTTATAGTACAGAAGAAGCGTTGTCGTATACAAAGTGAATTGGTTATACGTGAGAGAAGAAATTGTAGCAGAGATACCGTGTCGAAAAATATGATTATACGCTCGATAAGGTTGTTTGTAATACACTCACAATTATTAGTGAGTAAATACTTGAACTAATTGAATTTTATTTTCATTCCTGGTACCTAATAGAGTTTCCAATAAAATTTGTTAGTTTTTGTTGCAATCGAGAGTGTTGAGAACATGCATCAACTATTGAACTTAATTTATTTTCCATGTCTTCTGGAGAGGTCTCAACTTTGTTGCTATATATGAAATGTGTCATTTATAGGGAGTTTCAGATTTAAATGTTGATAGAGGACACTTGGATGGTTCCGAATCACATTTAAATATACTTAAATGAATCAGCCTGATCTTTCCCTAATTCTCCATATCACAAATACATTTACTTGTTATTCCATCATTATCACATCAAATTATGAGATACCATATTAACATATTAATCGTTGAATAATGACAAATTCTGAACCATCCGAATGAAGGAACGTTGAAAACATGCGTTTGGAACCTTTGAATCCCGAGAAACTAATTTAATAATAACCAGTAATAACCACTGATTTGTGAATTGAACGCCCTGAATCTCAAAATCTTCCCATTATTAAATTCTACGATTTTGCACGTTCAAGATGCAAGTCAGAATGTTTAATTATTGTTTTAGATCACCAATATGAAAACCATAGGCAACAGTGTGACATGAAGATCAAATAATAGTTGAAGACCACAGGGGAAAAGGGGGATGTCACAAAAAGTAAGTTTCAAGAATAAGCAATTCAAAGTTTAAAACCTCCTTACTTTTTGGAAGTTGGAGGAAACTGAAATCAAACCACCTGGATTTATTTGATGGAGTATAATGAGCAGTAAAGTTGTACAACTAGACGAAGTAACAATTTGCGATTACCTATTCCGTCTTCAAATTTAACGAAAAACTCTCTGATCTATAGTCGATTAAACTATACAATCACCTCCCTCCCGCGCCTTCAAAAACATAGTTTTGCCGTCTCATTTCAGGAGATCTGTCAAGCGCTTACTTATAGATGAGGTTTTATATAATGTTCAAGAGTTTCTTGAGAAAGATTGGAATAGTTAAAATATACCTCTATTTTAACATTTAGGAATTGTATTCTAATGCTCAATTCATTTTGTATCTGTCTGTTCTCTTCTATCTTTTTCTTGTGTTTACGTAAATATGTATTTATGATAATTGTGACAATGCTATAGTACGACCTGCTCTATACTATTTATTTCTATATACTTATTTAATTATTTATTTTATATTCATCATCACTTTATCAATGAGATGAAAATCTTCCGATAATAAAGTATATTTTGATTTGTTTCGATTTGAAAAACCATAATTGAATAAAAATCATCGAAAACAAAAAATAAGTCTGAAGATTCAACGAAAAAATGAGGAATGTCCATAAATTGTCACAAAACTGGATTGTTTATTCGCAATTATCTGATCTAGTACATTTCTCCATTCTTGCCTGACTACCTAATGAGCGGTGAGTAATCATATGTCATATAGTACATCTAGCGCATCTCTATAATTTGTTTGATCATTTTTTATAAATTCCACGTGATATGAGTAGGAATCATTATGTAGCAATCTCATTATTTTATTCCTATCACTCAGACGTACTCGACAAGCCCAGTCAGCACACCTTTTTGTCGTCAATCTCGACATAATACCAAAACTTGTTTATACATAGAACGGCTGAGCTTTGGAATTTTCTGCCAAACAGGATATTCCCAAGAACTCATAACCTCCAAAAGTTGAACAAAATCCCAACACCTAAGTCCTCTCCCTATCCTCCGAATAATATAGGGATTCAAGGGATGAGAAAAAGGTGGCAATATCTCTTTTTTTCTTATCTTTTGTTCGCCTGAGAGTTCACTTTGACCTTTTGACAGTGTGAAAACAACCTATCAAAATCACAATGGAATCTGTTTCAAGCAAGCACTAAGCTTGGACATTCCCTGACTATGCTGCGTTATTGCTATGGACTATTGTTTATACTAAAATATAGTGGTTGGGCTATCAGATGGCGTTATCAAGTCAATTTTCTACTATATTGTGACATTCCCCCTTTTCTCCATGTGGTCTTCAATTGCAAAAGATGCTTGGCAGCAACTATCTCCAACAATTTGGAATAGTATATTAGTATGACCAAAGAGGCTTCAAGTAAGTGGCAGGCACAACCTCTAAGAACATGTAGTTGGTAAATTTCCAGGTTCTATGATGTATTTTTTATTCTATAAAGTACTAAATTAGTCTGGTTACTATTTTTTATTCATTTTCACAGAAGTATAATAGTTATCTCTCAAATTATATATTATATAACTGAGACGGAAATGTTTTCTAGATTCTGACGTCACATCGACTTCTCATTGATGTAAAAATAATATAACTACTATATTACATAGAAGTGATGTAATATATTATGTAACGTGATGCGTACATTAAGCATAGTAAACTTATGAATTTTGAACCAACTTATTACCTCTTTTGTTACGTATCTGATCAACGAAATTATGTAATGTTTATGCGTTGGCTACGTAAATTTGTTTTCTAGGTAGTATACAATACCCATTTGAACCCCCCCTCACCTGCGTGTTGCACGAGAAATGTCTCTTGCCGGCCCCCCGGCAATCGAACCCCTCCTGGCAGGCGCGCTGCTGCGTCGCGACGCCGCCGCCGCAAGATCGCGAGCACGGCGACGGCGCCGACCACTCGCCCCACGGGCCGGCGTCGGCGTCGGCGTCTTGTGGGTCGGTGACGAAGCTGCCGGGCAAGTAGAGATGGGCGCCCTGCTGTCGCTTGAACCTGTCCTTGTAGTGGCGGATGCGCTGGAAGCGGAAATGAATAGTATAAGGCATGCTCGTTTGTGCTTGCTCTACCTAGAGTTCCTACAGTCTGTGTAATATTTCTTTGCGTGTGACTGAAATTAGCACAGAGCTATGCGCAACTTGCAACTTTTCAGACTTTCATATAGAGCAGCAATGTCGATCATGACGATTGTTGACATAAGTTACGACATCGTATTTGAACTCAACGGGTTAAATGCTCGAAATCTGTATTCGATGTTCCTATGTCGCATGGTATGTCGTGACACATGCTGAAACGACATCGTTTTGCGTGGCAATGGTCAAATATTTAACATGTCAGGAAGACGTTTGAATTCGCAAGCACGAAGTCTCATATCGACTTTGTTACAATATTTCACAAGAGAGAACGGTAATAATGGTCCTTTAATCCCGCCAGAATTGGCGAAAACTAATGGAAAATGGAAAATGATGCATTAAAAGTGTTTGTGGAGTCCTTGTCTACAGATTCAGAAGTTCTAGCAGTTCTTCTGATAGTTTCGAGGATGAAATATTGTTGTTTACATTGGGGAGTAGACGAGATAGGTTGGAAATTCTCAACAATCTGTATACAAACATATATTGATATTTTAATAGAAGCTGTTATGAACGTCTTGATTTTATATATCAATACTCAACCGTTTTCCCCAAAAACTTTAGTGTATTGTAACATTTCGCAAACAATTTGAATGATGAATTCTGATAAATACAAACAGAAATTGTTTGGTAATTCTGATTGAAACTGAATTCCAAAATGACTGTTGACAGTTCCTAGAATTGACAGGCCGGACAGGACAGGACTCAAATGACTGAATGTGTGTTTAAAAAACTCTGTTGCCATGGTAATGTGTTCAAAAAATTGTGTTGCCACGGTAACGTATTTAATTTTTTTGATAAATCACAGATCATCTATCCGAGATTAATCGATCATTTAGCGAGGAACATATCCGTACGGTAAATGCCATTTTAGTTATGGTAGTAAAAGAAAGTGGTCGTTTGCTCCGCATCCTTTCATTTCAATAATCATGAATGAACGGATGCGTAGGAGATGAATACCAGTTTTGTCTCACATGGCACAGTAGTTGTGAAATTAATCGGAAGAAGGTCGAGGCCATGGCGATTTTCTCATCAGTTACATCATGTTACATAATCGATGTTATTGTATCTGGTTATGCTTAGCGACGTGTGAGGAATTCTGTCTGTCTCTAAAGTCTAGGCGATGTCTGCTTCTTGACTATAGTCTGCTTAACGTTCGGATTACAAAATGAGATGAGAGAATTTATTTAAGATATGTTTTCGTTCTTGCAATGTAAATATTTGATAAATATTGCAATCTTTATCATGATTGAGTCATCCATATCCCGATTTTTGTGAACCATAATATTTTTGCATTTTAGTATGAATGATGTCTGAAGAGTTGAATGGTTAGTTTTTTGGAAAAATGCTCAGACTTGTCGATTTTTACTTTTTGGTAGATTCATGTATACATGGTAGCTCAAAAAAGAGGTCAACCGTCAACTTCCATGAGATCTTCTTCTTCTGTTTTTGATTAGATTGACTATATACCTTGACCTTTCTTCTTTTTTCTTGGCTGATTTATCTTCTTCAACCCTAATATCACGTACTTCTCCTTTACGTTTTGCTACAATAAGTACAATTTGATTCTGTAATTAATTCATGGTTCTTCTCTAGTAATTATTTGGTTATAACAGAACATTCTGACCATTAGGCTGATTTTGTCCATGTGATTTAGTTTGTATAATATCATTTGTCGCTGTCATTCTGTCAATGTCATATTCTGTTAATGTTTGTTGCCTCGCCAGTCGCCCATTCCTTGGCTTCTGTTTTTCATTCAATGGCCATTTCATGATTTTTTCATTTTTTTTATGTTCTGGTCCCCACGAAAAGGGATATTCTGTAATGTTCAGAGAACATCGTGAGAACCCAGGAAAATAAAGTAGGAATTGGTGTTCTCCTTGAATTCCTGGAGGTTATATGCCTCGGAAAACACCTCCCTTGGCAATGTGTTCCAGAGCCTCGCAGTTCGTTGGATGAACGAGTCTTCGGAAAGAGATATTCTGTAGGTCTCCAAAGTGACCACGAAGGGGTGCGAAACCCCAACTCGACAGGTTAATCTATCGGGGACTGCCAAGGGAGGAACAATTGTTGATATTTCAGAAGAGCATCGTCCATGAAAATATCTATAAAATAGAGCCAGATCGCCAATTTCTGTACGGTGTTCCAGAGAAGTGAGTGAGTTTCGTGAGCGAGGCATCACCCACGAGACGAATTACCCTTTTATGAACAGAATCCAACAGTTTCAGGGTATGTTTGGGTGCTGAACTCCAAATATGGGAACAGTATTCCAGGACAGGTCGGATCTGTGCCTTATAGATCAAAAGCAGCTGACTGGAAGCGAAATACCTCCTGGCCCGAAACAGAAAACCACGTATTTCCCAAGAAAGGTTAATGCTGATAGTAATACCAAGCATCGAAATGGATGTGTTCAAAGGTATGGTTACTCCTGACAAGCTCATGTTGGGCACAGTGAGATTGGCTTTTCTAGAGAAAAGGCATGCTTGTGTTTTGTTTGCATTGAAATCTACCAAGTTATTGGATCCCCATTCGAGAACTCATGCCAAGTCCATATTTATGTTCTTGGCTGATTTATCTTCTTCAACCCTAATATCACGTACTTCTCCTTTACGTTTTGCTACAATAAGTACAATTTGATTCTGTAATTAATTCATGGTTCTTCTCTAGTAATTATTTGGTTATAACAGAACATTCTGACCATTAGGCTGATTTTGTCCATGTGATTTAGTTTGTATAATATCATTTGTCGCTGTCATTCTGTCAATGTCATATTCTGTTAATGTTTGTTGCCTCGCCAGTCGCCCATTCCTTGGCTTCTGTTTTTCATTCAATGGCCATTTCATGATTTTTTCATTTTTTTTATGTTCTGGTCCCCACGAAAAGGGATATTCTGTAATGTTCAGAGAACATCGTGAGAACCCAGGAAAATAAAGTAGGAATTGGTGTTCTCCTTGAATTCCTGGAGGTTATATGCCTCGGAAAACACCTCCCTTGGCAATGTGTTCCAGAGCCTCGCAGTTCGTTGGATGAACGAGTCTTCGGAAAGAGATATTCTGTAGGTCTCCAAAGTGACCACGAAGGGGTGCGAAACCCCAACTCGACAGGTTAATCTATCGGGGACTGCCAAGGGAGGAACAATTGTTGATATTTCAGAAGAGCATCGTCCATGAAAATATCTATAAAATAGAGCCAGATCGCCAATTTCTGTACGGTGTTCCAGAGAAGTGAGTGAGTTTCGTGAGCGAGGCATCACCCACGAGACGAATTACCCTTTTATGAACAGAATCCAACAGTTTCAGGGTATGTTTGGGTGCTGAACTCCAAATATGGGAACAGTATTCCAGGACAGGTCGGATCTGTGCCTTATAGATCAAAAGCAGCTGACTGGAAGCGAAATACCTCCTGGCCCGAAACAGAAAACCACGTATTTCCCAAGAAAGGTTAATGCTGATAGTAATACCAAGCATCGAAATGGATGTGTTCAAAGGTATGGTTACTCCTGACAAGCTCATGTTGGGCACAGTGAGATTGGCTTTTCTAGAGAAAAGGCATGCTTGTGTTTTGTTTGCATTGAAATCTACCAAGTTATTGGATCCCCATTCGAGAACTGTTGCCAAGTCCATATTTATGTTGTCACCATTTCTCCCTCGTTCGTTTCTGATTTGCCTGGCTGGCATTGGAGCCCTGATGAAACTCGTTTGAGTGAATTAGAATGTGTTTTCGCAATCTTTGTGCCAATGTTGAACCTGATTATCGTTGGGTTCTTTTGGCTGTTCAGTCGGTTCAAACAATCTAGTTTTTCTTTACCGGACTGATTTTTTCGATTCTATGAGTCCAAGGCTTATTCTTTAATAATATTTTCAATAATGTGATTTCCATATGGCCTTAGAGGTATGTTTTTTCTCAGAAACATGTTCCTCTGTTATTTTGAACCTTTTCACAGGTAATGTATTAATGTGTCTGAAGATGGGTGTTTGAGCCAAAGCAAGTCACAATACAATTTGTGTAATATCACTTCTGTGGTCGACCGAAACACCTATTTAGTATTACATTTTTGAACTTTGCACCGAATTCTAGGTATGTTTCATGTAAGTACTATGTGAAATCCTAAACTAGACAGTTATCAGAGAAAATACGATATTGAACATGTCTATAAGTAGAGACCTGTTCGATTTGAGGTGGCCCCACAAATAGAAATCCATCGAAGTTAGATCTGACGACCTAGTAGCCTATTCGATAGTTGCTTTCTTTCCCATCCACCGATTGGGAAAGGTTTCAATCAAAAATGTTATGGAAATGATTGTCCATTTCATGAAACTATCTGATGGTACTTTACTACTATACATTACCATGGAACATCAACTGTCTGAAAGTTGATGTTCGATGACATTACCTACAAGTCCCATTCAAAAGAATTCTCTAATGAATTCAGTTTTCCATTCCAGAACCGACAAAAGTTGATTGGTATCTCTAGAATGCATAGTCAAACATTATTTTGTTATAAAGAAATAACCCACAGACATTTTTTTCCACAGACGTGTCGTGATAAAGATATTCCTCTCCGGTCTTCTCCCATGTTGAAACCACCGTGAAATCTGGTATCAGACAAAATATCTCAATTAAATCAATTACGAGAAAATTCCATACACGTGTATTCACTATTCACCGGAGAGCATGCATTCTGTGAGGCCTTAAATAAATCCACGGAGTTTTTACCGTAAAAAAATAATCGATTAAGATAATTGTACACTTCTCTACGGTACAGAGACCAATAAATCCAGAATGATTTATACCTAGTACTTCTGTATCTTCGAAGCCATTGCCCACTGTTCAATACTGCTTCTATCGCAATAAAAAGATCGGAGTCGGTACTTACTAGCTGGAAATGAAGATTTCATATAAAAAATATTATCGTGTTGCTACCCGCTGTTTCAATTAAATCTTTGAAACATTAATCAATTAACGATAAGCGGTAGTGAAAAAAGAATACGTTTTCTTTGCTGTATCCATAGATAGTCGAACACCAATTCAACCGTTATATGAACAAAATTACAACAAAAATTAGTATTCCACTGATTAGTGAAAAATTGTGCTCCACTGTATAGTGCTACCCAAAACAAGTTTGACCTCTATAATAAGTGTTCTCCAATGCAGCAAGAGTTCAGTTATTATAATTACCAATGATTGTTTCTATGCTTTCTACGTTTCAGAATAAAAAGAAAGTGACAAAACTGTTTTTGTTTTCAAAAGTAATTCTCCACGTTTTTTAATCACCATTATTTTTTTTTCAGTTCGAGACTCTTTTTCCAAATTCATTATACATAGCATTATGAATATTATGAAAAATTGACTTGCGACAAAATTATTTGAATTAAAAAATAAACGCGAGATGTATCATTGAATATGGCAGTAAATAGAACAAGTTGGCCAGACTGTTAAAAATGCCCTCCCCAAAAACATAAATTGACGAAATCAAAAAAAAATTATTTCTTTAATTTCAGGAAGGCCAAATTCTCATTGTAGTACCCTGTATATACTGTGAAAATATTTCTTATTTATCTAATGCTTGGTACTGTTGGTAGCGGTACTTGTGCAATTGAGGAAATGATTATAATATCAATCAAAAGATTAGAAATGGCGAAGAAAGGATGATGCTGATATATACTCACATGTCTGCTTAACACATTGTGGAAGAAGCTGATAAATAAAATGGCTAAAATCAACGGAGACCTGCAACAAAAAAGAAAAGAGAATAGTAGAGTTAGAAGGAAACATTTTCCAGCAAACACGTTGAACTCGTCTAGACTTCTATAATAGGAGTTTGTGTGATAATGATGCATTCACATTTTGAAATAAAATCTATATTTTCAATGCCTATTTCCTATTTACATAATGCAGAATAGTCATTTTAGTCTTTATTATGATGGTAAGTATAGAAATAGTATATATTCAACTTATTTTACCGTTTTTGGATGTATGACAAACTGATATTCATCATACAGGGCGTGAAAAGCAATTCTGAATTGAGAAAACCTAATCACGAATCTGCGATTAAAGGTCTACAAAAATAACAAGTTTCCATCATCGTTCAAGTTTAAACCCCTTGATTGGGTGAAAGTATTGAAAAGGAATATATTCTCAGATATATTATATGAACATGAAAAAATGGATATATACATAAATAAATACATTGAGAATTCCAATTTTGACGAAAGAATCATAATCTCCGTCCGCCAATTTTTACACAGAGAAATAATTGACCTCATCTTCATACATAAAATAGTGAATAACCAAATCGACTCATCTACTTTGTTATCGTCACTTTGCTTTAATGTGCCTCGAATAGCATCTCGATCAAATATAACTTTTTATATAGTTATTCCAAATTCACAACATCATTTCCATTGTCCGCTCACCTCAATGTGTAGGAGTGATAACAAACTCCTTCTTCCAGACACTACCACAATTCGAAAGAATATATCAAGGTCGTTGAGTAATTGAATATGCACATCATATATATGTATGAATGTGTACATATGAATATGTATCGAATTTTGTTCAAACCCATGTTCTTCGGTATATCCCAAGTATTATTTCACATATTAAGTTTTACACCTGTAATTGGGCTTTGCCTGTTGGATGTAAAATTGAAATAAATAAATAAATAATTAAATATTGAAGTTTCAATTTCGACAAAAGCATCATAATCTCCTACCTCGAGAACCCCCAGATGTTAATTTGGAATAGAATCGGATCATATAATTACAAAACTCGTTCGCCATATTGGATCCGTCATCTTGAATTTTCCAATTTTGACGAAAGAATCGTAATCTCCAACCCCTAAAACCCCAGGCCGCAATTTTGACTATACAATCGGATCATAATTACAAAACATGTCCGCCATATTGGATCTGCCATCTTGCATTTTATTTTAACCTGCGTGCAAAAATTTTACAAATTTGATCGAAACGGAAAGAATTAATTTTTGAATGAGCAATTTGTTAGCACACAAAGATCAAAATCCCAGAGGATGCCTACATTTTGAAGGGCATCTTGTATTCTAAAATCTTCGAATACTGTCCTGCGTGATGATTATGTTCACGTCGACAGCCTGTACGGCACTTCATAGTGAATATGTGAATAGTCTAATTGGATGGTATGCCGGATACAATTAGCATCAATACAAGATCTTTCTATGATAAGCCCATCTCTAAGCGACAGGTAGATATATCTATGAATGTCTATGACCAGAAAATCCGTTGGGTAGGTAAACACATACAGAGAGAACAGAAATCGTTCGTTTCCCAGTCCAATTACCGATCAATCAGCGGATCGTTGAGATTCCACTAGAAGTCAAGAGGAACTGGGAACTTAAACTTTGTAACTACATTTTAGTTAGATATAGGGTCTTCTAGACCAGTTGTCAACTTTGAGAGTGGTAAATTCGTTAAAAGCTTTATAACATTGTATTGGATTTATAGTTTATATACCTCGAGTTCTCGATCATTTTAATGTTGATTCTCGTACACCGACCATCAGATTGATTTACAAGGAAATGAAATGATTGAAAAACTTGAAAAAGCTAAAGAACTAAATAGTTATTTATGTATGTACGAGGGACGAAAAACTGTCTATTATAGTCGATTCTGTAAATTTTGATAGCCGAGGCTAGCAATCAGGCGAGATGAAATACGTATTCAAGAAGGAAAGATACAATCAGATAATATGTTTGACAAATTGATGATATCTCGAAGATCGTAACACTTTGTATAATGAATAAATATAATAAATATCTTTATTTTCCTTTAGACTTCCTAAAAAAGTATAGGAATAGTCAGGTTGTTACAAAGATAAATGACAGATTACATATGACGAACATTTTACAAAAGAGGGAAACATTGTATATACAATTTTGAAGGTAATGATGGGAATATTCTTTTTTTCTATGAGCAATGATTTCAAGCATTTTCTGAAAGAAGTTACATTTTTTGCGTTTTTCAAATATCCAGGTAAGTTATTGACCTAGGAGCTAGGATATTTTGTTTAAGTATTACTCAAAATATTTTTTCTGCTTGGTTTAATATAGAATTCGTTCCTCGAGCAAGTACTCACATCATGTATATCACTGATGCGAGCAAACAGTTGCTTGTTAACAAATACATAGATACTTAATTCAAATATAAAGAGCCAGGGCAGCGTTAATATCTTCAACCTTATGAAAAAAGGTTTGCAGGAATCCATTCTCTGAATGCCCATCATACTTCTTACAGCGTTTTTTTGAGCCAGAAAAATAGCCTTCGCTGATGTAGATGACCCCCAGAAACATATACCATATCGGATACGCGAATCCACTTGAGCAAAGTAGAGATTACACAACTGATTTGAATCCAAGGTACCTACTTCTCAGAGTCCTGTGTTGAAAATTTTTCGTTGGAATTGGTCATCGTGGGAATGTATGAAAAGTGGGTATGGTGGGAACCCAAGGAAGGTGGGCATGGTGTCATTTGGGCATCGTGGGAATTGGGCATCCTGGGAATGTATGAAAAGTGGGCAAGGTGGCAATCCAAGGAGGATGGACAGGATGGTGGAAATTGGCTATCGTAGGAATGTATGAATAGTGGGCATGTTGGAAATTGGGCATCGAAGGAAGTAGGTATTGTGGGCATGTATGAAAAGTAGGCATGGTGATAATCTTGTATTTTCAGAATTTTTCTCATAACTTGGCAACGTTGCGCTCTTCGGCAATCTTCGTGATCTTCGACATCAAGGTATGGGCATGGTGTCATTTGGGCATCAAGGGAATTGGGCATCCTGGGAATTGGGCATCGCGCTATGCACCCAAAAATATTCTACATCTTTTTTTCCGAATATTTTCACTTATAATAGCACGAAAGCTTCAATTACCAGAAAAAATATAAAAATAAGATTACGCTAAATAAAATACAAAATACCGACTTCAGTATAGTAGTTAGTAGTCAGTAGGCAGCTGGTAGGTAACTTCTACCAGCTGCCATTATTCATGAACTTTATTCCACTAAAGTTGGTGAAAACAAACATATTTTGTTATTAGGGATCGAAGTACTATGTAGTACTGATGAAATTCACATCCATACCATAACATTGTTGTGTAAAATGAACACAATTAACTTTCTTTAGTTACACGATAGTGTGTTTTCCCTATTTGATATACACGAGAATTCATGATTATTACAAAACATAATTAATTGTCAAGATATTAGGCATCACCCTGTTATCAATATTTCAGTTCATTGAATTATTCTTCAAACAAGCTTATCTCTAGTCGTTTTTTGAAGCTCATAGGGCACAAATTCACTTAGAAAAATATGTAAAGGCTGTGTGCCAACATTTGAATCGCTGTTTCTCGAAAACTAGTCATAGCACCAAACATGTTTATGTTCGGTGGTCATAGGATTGAGTTGGGCCAATGAGAGCTTTTGATCAGGATATCACAAACTACAACCAAACTACAACATACTATAATTGAAGCCGATTTGACCGGGATCCAAAAACCCATAAGAGCGGTGCGGAGTCCTTTCAAAGATTACTGAATGTATCTTCTGTAGTCTATGGTCCTTTCATTGATTCAACGAGCTCGAGATTCAGCAACTAATAAACCCCTAACACGTCATCACTGTGAACAATTCCGCCTTCTTGGCATAACCAATGAACTGAATGGGCATAACATCCACCAATGTTTCTTCCACCATCCCCTATTCCTGTGATCCTGTTGTATGAGTCGCGTCTATGCGACTACGTCACGCGTGCCGCAGTGCCGCGTTTCTCACCTCCGAAATTCGTCCTTGCCAGAGTTCACGTCGCAACACTCTCAACTGCAGTGTTGCCAGAACTTTTTTTGCAATTGTACCAACCCAAGTGAGGAAAATGTACCACTTTGTACCACCACCAATAACGCGTTGCCATCACTTGAACATGGCCGCACAAAACTCAAAATTCTATATAAATCTCATCTTTCTCAAGATTATGGTCCTTGCTTCCCATCGGCGCATTCGACTACTATTTTACTCAAGGCAGAGATTGCTCAAGGCAGAGATTATACACTCCATATTTTCATCATTGATGGAAGTGAAGTTGGGCATGGAAAGTTTAGTTCTTGTACCAAATTGCATCATTTTCTCGACTCATGTTCATATGAACTTGTCTTCCTATTTTTGGTCGAAGAAGCCGCTGGTGAAGTTTTTCAGGCAAATTTTGAGACACCCTGTATAAATTCTCCCATGCAAAGTCATGAAGTTTCTCGATTTATTTGTAAACGTCATTCTGTGCCCACCACCGCTACCAGAATGGAACAAATGAAACGCAACTACAACGAACAATGTACTACTTGTGGCAACGCTGCTCAACTGCCGAAAATCCGTTTCCTGGCCCCCTACCCATGTGGCCTCCTGCTCTCCGGGCAGTCTGGTTGCCGAAGTAACCCGTATTTCGACCCCGGACAAGGTTGTCGGCCTGGCCCAGGGCCCTTGTAGGGCCGCGAGCAACAGGTGGATGGCAAAGGGGGTTTGGCCTTTATCCCAAATGCCTGAAGCATGGACTCCTAAGGGTGGCTCGAAGGGGGTGTGCTAGGTGAATGATTACAGGGAACATATTATATAAGAATTTGTTGACTCGACATATTTGTGTTTGGATTGATATGGCTTGGATTCAACAATTTTTTGTTGAATGAGGAGTTCCAGTTCGTTACAGTTACA